CGCGCGTGGCCACCGTTCGTGGTCCCTGTTGAGTAATAAAAACGACCGGTTATTAGAGCCGCCTCCGTGAAACAAAATTTCCGCCAGATTTTGTTTTCTTCGAATAACGCGGCAGCATCTTTTTCTGTCGCGGAAGTCTTGCATCGAGCAACTGTATTTCTGCGAGGCACTGTACCTTGTGCTTGGCCGCGCCGAGGTTAGAGCGTCGCTGCGTTTCATCTCGAGGGAATTCCGCCGGCGTTCCCCCTACCTCCTCCTACCCCACCACCACGCGGCCCGGTGTGTGGGGGTAAATCATCGCCGGGGGAAAAAAGGGGATCCGGAGCGGGGGGACGTGTGTGGCGCGCTGGCCCTTTTGCGAGCTGTCCGCGCCAACGTAGAGCACCGCGTGGGTAAACGTTGGAGGTCGTTTCGATCGACGCGGGGCAACAACCCGAACACACGCTGCTGGGGAGAGCCAAACAACTGAGAAGAACCCGCCACGGCCATCACGTGCGTCGTGTGAAATTAGCGGCCGTGGCGTGCGGAGCATGTGGCGTGCCCCCCCCCCCCCCAATCTTCGTAGCTCGGCCTTCAGGCGCCTCCACTGCAGTTGCACCGCCTGCACGCTTTAGCAACTGCCCGCTAGTTTTTTGAGACACGCTCATTACGAAAAGCAACGTGTGCGGTTTGTGGGAAATTGTTTCCACCTCGATGAGTGATATGGTGCTGTGGTTAGACTTCCGTGTCCTTTCCTATTTTGTTCAATAAAAAACAATCATGCAACGGCCCTTTGTCAGTCCACTGCTACACGAATGCAACCACTCCCACCGCCCCTCTTTTACGCTGACCTTTTCCATTCCTACACATGAGTTCGGGTTTTAAAGCGCTCTGTCTCTTAGACAGTCCAAAGATTTGCCTATTTTAATCGCTAATGAGTCACCAGGGTGAATGAATGTTCTCTTTTTTAGGGCTGGTGAGTCCGTCTAAATCGGGTGTAGTGGTTCAGCCGTTGTGGTATTTTTTTTGCTGGCATTGCCGGCTCTACGCGAGCATGAGTTTTCGCGTAGAGCCGGCAATTCAGAGACCACACATTTTTAAAGGGAGGCTCTGTGGCTTATGCTGTCATGATATCTCCACTTAGAGGGTCAGGGGTCACCAAACCTCTACCCCCTCCCCCGTGCCCTCCCCCATTTCACCCTGTACACCTCCTTGTGGCTCTGGCCATCTTGAGTTGTCAAAATTATTTGGGATCGTGAAGAGGGGAGGTTCCAGGAACGTTTAAAATATCGCTTGCCACTGATGTTGGCAATGGGCAGGAATTTAATTCGGGGTCGCTTGGTTCATAGCACAGTGCGTGAATCAGGATGCTACCGCTGCATCCCCTTCTTCCTATTTTCATCATCAGCCATGGTCATTCCACTGCCAGATGAGGGTCTCTGCAATATGCTTCCATATCTGATAATGCTGCTATATAGTATTTCCTGTTTTATGATAGCCTTATGTTTCCCAAACTTGAGTTCAGTTTTTTTAAAAGAATCTCTGTCTGAAGGTGGTCCAATTATTTGCATATTTCCATCGCTAATGAGTCACCGGGGTGAATTATTTTTTTATTATCTGAAGGCTGACGAGGCACATCAGCTTGTGTTTTTTTTGCTGGCAATGCCGGCTCTACGTGAGCATGAGTATTTAGGCCTGGTTCACTTGTTGTTTTACGTTATTGCTTTCCACTTGAGGGCCGCATATTATTAAATTTTGAGCCTCTGTGGCTCATGCTGTCATGATATATCCACTTAGGGGGTCAGGGGTCACCAAACAAAACCTCACCGCCCCCCGCCCCCCAACCTCTTCCAAGGCTTCTGGATAGTGATGAAGCATCGGCTAAAAATGCCCTCTAGAGCTCAATCTAGTAGCGGCCCTGCCAACGGGGATGTGAGCGAGTAATTGCAGGGCCGCGCCTTTTACCTTTCTCTACCGAGGACAGAATCGATGGTGCGTGCTTACACACAGTAATCGCGTATCTCATTGAGACTGCAGGGATGTGTGATGTGTTGTCCGTGTTTCCCAGGATTGCGGCATTCGCCTTGTAAAATTGACTTGGAGATATAATGCTGACCGAGAGGAGTGGGTGGGCTTTGGGTTAAGGCTTATGAGTAGATTGTGAGTGACATGCACGCTGTGGATCGTGAGTGACATGCACACTGTGGGTTATAAAGTGACACGCACTATGGATTGTGAGTGACACATACACACAGTGGATTGCGTGTGACACATACACACATGCCGAGTGTCGTAGACATCAGTCCGTTGTGTTAACGGAAAACGAATTCTGAGCTTTTGAGTTTCAAGTTGGTGGTGGCTGGGTGTTGTGGCAACCCATTAAAACGCAAAGCCATCAATTGTAACACCATTTATAGCCCTAATAGCTGCGCACATTGTCACACTGTGAGCGTGCGTGCGCGGCGCCGTATTCATATCCAACGTGGCAATTCCGAGCGAGCCGTGTGAATTGCAGAAACCCTCCGTCCTGATCGCCTGAGATATATTTTCGTGCTCGTGAGATATGCGCCTAAAATGAAGGTGGCGCATGACCGTTTTATATATATACATATGTAAAAAAAAGTTTCGCTTTGGTAGACGACACTTGAATCCAGAACAGCCACCGCGTAGGCGTTTGCGGTTGAGCTGTTAAAGCTCTCCAATGCCGATCGGCAGTGGCGTCGTGCGGACATTCCGTCCCAAGTGCCACGGGAGCTTCTCCAGGGAGAGGGGAGAAGGGGGGGCGGTGAACTGAATGCTTAAGGGAATTTAATTCCGAACTCTTGAGAGGGAATTGAATTCACTTCCCGAAATAAACTATCGGCACGTAGCCCGGGGGAAACGTTGTTTGCACGTCGCTTCGAACGACGTGGGGCAGGACCCCCGAGTGCACGGCGCTGGGAAAGCGTCGTTGAGTCTCACGGATGTCGGCAGATCCCGGCAGCAAGGCGGACGTCGTCTGCTCTCGAGATGTCGGTGTGCCAAGCGACGGGCACACTCGTTGTCGTGCGCCCATCGAGCGAAGCGGTTTCGCGAGTCATTGTGTCCGCTGTGTCTTGTACAGCGATGTGAGATTCTCGTCGACGGGCACTTTGATTTTTTTTTCACCCCCCCACAAAGAGTCGTTTGGCAAACAAGGGAAGGTGCAATTCACCTGTCTCGTTTCGTGTGCACGCCTTGGTACCATGGCGTCGCCGGTCCTCTTGGGAGGCGATTTGGGCCTCCCTCCTGTTTGGTCAGTTTTAATGGATGCCCCTTAAAATCGCGTGGCTGCTGAGTACTTGTTGGTATGTCTGTGGAATTTCCATGTAAATCTGGTTTCTGCTCGTATTAGCAAGAAACGTCTTGGTCGGAGCCCCTGTAAGAGAAATACCCTAATTGGATTTTTGTTGTAACCATCTGTGCCCAAAGTCGGCTAAATGTGGCATCATATGTAGCATCTGCCATCATGACAGTGTGATTACATTCTGTATGAGATGCGAACCAGCCGCCTCCCGTCTTCTTTGTAGAACGTGGATGGCCTGTCATTTGGTATAAATCAACGGCGGCTCTTTGCTTTAAGACCCAAGGACAGAGCAGTTACCGATTATGTTTTAACCGTTTAGTACTAAACTGCATTCAAGGTGCGTGTAATGGTACGTCAGGTGATAATTTTTGAAATTGTGGGGCATTATGGGTAATGTGCCACCAAAACGGCGGCGTATAATGAGTTGCTTTACAACAGCGCTGTTTGCGTTTAACTGGTCGCTGTAATTTTGATGGGAGTGCTCTTACCGATAACATCTGGCAACAAATCGGCATTTGTTTAACAGGTCTGACTGCTGATGAGATCCCGGAAGGTTGAAGCCGGTGCCGAGTTTGCTCGCCGACACAAATTCTGCTGGGGTAATATAGGTCTTGAAAGCCAATAGAGCAATAGGCTTATTTATTTATATATGGAGACGCATTACACAGTTCTGTTTATGTAGCAGCACCTGCACGCGGTACGCACGGAGGTGCGTTGGGAAAGCCCGAGCGGCAAACGGAGAGATGACGAGTCTCGCAGAGCAAGCGCGCTGCGAAGATAGATTTACATTTTTTTTTTTAAAAACGTCCGAGTGCCAAGTCAAAAAACAAAACCCCGAGATGAGCAAAAACAAGTGGCAACTCTCCTGGCAGTCTTACAGAGAGACGGCATTGGCGGCAGTGACGCTGCGGGTCACTGGTTTGTAGCCGAGACTCCCCGAGAACTGTGACAGCCTCATCGGCCTCGCAGGGAGGAGGAGTCTGCGGATTACGGCTTCTTCATGGCGGGGAGCGGCTGCCGCATAAAATAGGTCACCGTTTAAATGTTCTTTTGACTATTGCACGATACTAGGGGGAAGTGAAACGCGTACGTTGGTGTGATGTTAACTACCTCGCCTGGTATACAGGAAGTCGTGGGCTCGATCCTGACCCTGACGCCTGTATATATCTGGAGTTTGAATGTTCTCCCCCGTGGTCGCGTGGATTTTTCTCCGGGTCCTCCGGTTGTTCCCTCCACATTTAGAAACATGCATTTATAGCATTTTGGCTGCTGTAAATTTACACGCGATAAGCCACGTCGTTGAGCTATCATTTGTGGTCAGGTCGCTTCTGAGAAAGAGCTGTATAGCTCAGTGGGCCTTACCTGGTAAAATAAAATAGTTTCATAGTTTAGTTTAAATAGTACATCCCGCTGGAACACCTACTTCCCAAATTGATGCCTTATTTAAAAAAAAAGAAAATGCACGTACAACGGGTTAACTTTTGTACGGAGCAGAGTATTTGGCATTATGGTGATAGATGTGTGTGTGGGTTGAAAATGGGAATCGGTGGTGTAATGGTTGGCGCACGACTGCCTCCGCTTGAGAACCCTGTTTAATCATCGTCGGCCTTAACAGGCACTCGCTCACCGCGGTTGCTTTGAAAGTTCGTCGCCTAAATGGGGATCTTTGTCCGCCCGCGTCTCTGTGTGTGTGCAGTACCTGGATTTAGACCGGGCCGCGCTGCAAAAAATGAAGAAGTCGATTAAAGCCATCCAAACGTCCGGGCAATGTGAGTTCTTTTGCGGCCGATCCACAAATGCACGATTTTGTAATCCTGAAACGAACGCTGGATGTCGCATTTCGTACACGCATGATTCCTATCGGATGATCTCTAATTGCGCTGTTGTCAAGGTTCAAGAAAACCGATCCTGAACTACAATTCGACTTTCCGACGTTCTCTCCGTCGTGTTTTCGGGTTACGCAACAGCGAAAACATGCACGTTTTGAATGCCGCGTGTCACGTGTTGCATACAGGCTGGAAACAATTCGTTACGCTTTCTCCACTCTAGTTAATGTTGTTGTCAAGCAGAAGCTCAATACGGCTAATGGGTTGAGGATGTTGTTGTTGATGCTCCTACTTGTCTGCCCTTTGCTGCGAGTTAATAAGTTCTGTCTCAATGACGGGGACAGATACAATGTAGTTGGTGATTGTAAATACTTCGCAGTGAGACGGTGTCAATATATACACATACATATTGCGTAGCTCTGCGGTACACCATCTTTCTTGTTGCTTGTAATTAACATGTATCCGTTTTATTCCGCGTGCAGTCGAAGTTAAATGCTTAATTAAAACACGGGTGGCATTTAATAAAGCGTAGGTGGTTTTTTGCCGTCACAATGTCACCTTAAATTTATGCGTAATTCTAATACAATGGCAGGCTTTAAAATTTACGAAGATGCAGGCAAAATCCACTCTCTACTCATTTGTATTAAGCACTTTCTTTGGCTGTTAAAGACGGGGCGGGGAGGGGGGGTCGGTGGTTCGCGCACCGTGCTATGAACCGGGCAGTTTGAGTTCGATTCCCGTCCACGGCTAACGTCAGCGGCGAGTGACGCCTTCACCAGCCCGCACTGGCCAGCTTGGTGAATTGTGATTGGGGGAAAAAAAGACCACTTGACCGACACGACATGGGGACGCCTGCGTGCAGTGGTGGATTGACGAAGGTGCTGTAAACGTTAGGGTGGGTGTTTGAATGGACCTGAGCCTGAGCGTCTCCAGTGCTGCCGCCCAGTTATCGTGCCAACGCTGACGAGCCAATGTTCGCATGTGGCTGGAGAACCGCTGGGCAAAAGGCGTTGGCCCCCGACCGACGTGCCGCGTTTCCCTGGGTGGAAGTGCCCACTGACGCCGTTTTCGTGCGCCGATGCCTTGCGCAGCCCACGTGGAGAACGAGGAGGCGTACACGCTGGCGCTGGACAAGGTGGGTACCAACCTGATGAGCCGGGACGACCCGAACCTGGGGGCGGCCTTCCTCAAGTTCTCTGTGTTCACCAAGGAGCTCACCTCTCTGCTCAAGAATCTGGTGCGTAGCTCCACCCTCAAACTACATGCGTTGCGATGGGCACTTGAATAATATAAACTATTTTCATTTTACTAAGTAAGGCCCCCCACTGAGCTATGTAGCTCTTTTTCAGAAGCGACCTGGCCACAAATGATAGCTCAACAAAGCGGTTTATCACGTGGACATTTATAGCGGCCAAATGCTCTAAGCGCACGTTGATCCTAAATGTGGGGAGAGAAACTGGAGGACACAGCAAAAAGTCTACACGGCCACGGGGAGAGAGACATGCAAACTCCAAATGTACCGGCATCACGGTCAGGGTCGAACCCACGACCTCCACCATACCAGCAGAGGTATTAAACATCTCGCCACTGTGGCGCCCAATAAACAGTCAAGAGAGCGCTGCCCTACCGGGTTTAAACAACGGGGACGACCAAATAATAATTTGGCGCTGCACACACGCGCGGATCAGCTGGTGAGGACTTACCACGCTGGAATTTCTGTCAATGCCAGGCCGTGACCGCCAACAATGCGGACGGCGTGCAGTGACGTGGCGACGCTGTTTTAATGACGTCCCCTCCCCAACTAGCCCGCACTCCCTTCCAGCCGAGCGCCGGCACTGAATGGGACTCGACATTTCGTTTGGCACCGTGGGAGGTGAGGGGGGGGGGGCGGTCTAGGGCTTTGACCGAGTTTTCTGCAGATCCCTTCACATGAAGTCATCGGCTCTCTGTGCGCAGAACGCGGGCGTTCATTAAGGGTTGCGACGAAGCCGGGTTTTGTCTTCTTAAATCAGAACGGCACGAATTATTATTCTTTTTTTTCGTAAAAAAATCGAATGCGGAGGTCGGGAACCGTCACACAGTGGAGTGCCACGCGGCCTCCGTTGCAATGGAGGGATCCAAGTTAGCGGTGCTTTGAAGATGGAGATGTAAAAGATGTTATTCCCGTGTGGGTGGCTCACGAAAAAGGGGTAAAAGAGAAAAAAACTACGTCACGCGCACAGTGTCGCATGAATAAAACAGTCTTGTGCAGGCTTTGTGAGCGTGTGTAGGCTGCCTGTAGAACGCACGTGGCTACGTACGTGTGTGCGTGTGGCTACGTGCGTGTGTGCGTGTGGCTACGTGCGTGTGTGCGTGACTATTTGCGTGTGTGCGTGGCTACGTGTGTGTGTGGCTACGTGCGTGCGTGTGCATGGCTACGTGCGTGTGTGTGCGTGGCTACGTGTGTGTGTGGCTACGTGCGTGCATGTGCATGGCTACCTGCGTGTGTGCGTGGCTACGTGCGTGTGTGCGTGGCTACGTGCGTGCGTGTGCGTGGCTACGTGTGTGCGTGGCTACGTGCGTGTGTGCGTGGCTACGTGCGTGTGTGCGTGGCTACCTGCGTGTGTGTTGTGGCTAAGTGCGTGCATGTGCGTGGCTACGTGTGTGCGTGGCTACGTGCGTGTGTGCGTGGCTACGTGCGTGTGTGCGCGGCTACGTGCGTGTGTGCGCGGCTACGTGCGTGTGTGCGTGGCTACGTGCGTGTGTGGTGGGTAGCGGTTAGCGCGTTGCGCTATGAACCCGGCGACACGAGTTCGATTCCCACTCACGGCCAACACCAGTGACGATTATCTGAACCGGTCCCGGGCCTCCCCTAGGTCGACTCAGCCTCAAATGAGTACCTGGTGCGATGTGTAAACATCGCCACTAGGGAGACAAAGGCGGCCGGGCGTGGTGTTGGCCACCCACCCCCTCGTGCGCCGTGCCGGCCTTCATAGATGCACGCTAGCAGCACTTGCCTCAACAGTCTGTCAAGGCTACACGGGGGATCTTTGTGTGCGTCTTCCTGGAGGAGGCATTGGCGAAGCAGTTGGTGCATTGCGCTACGAACCCGGCGACCCGAGTTCGATTCCCACTCACGATTATCTGAACCGCTTCTGGGCCCCCCCCCCACCCAGGTCGACTCGGCCTCAAATGAGTACCTGGTGCGGCGTGTAAACATCGCCCCTCGGGAGGCAAAGGCGGCCGGGCGTGGTGCTAGCCACCCACTCGCTCTTGTACCGTGCCGATCTTTGAGTGCTTGCTAACAGCACTTGCAACCAAAAGTCTACTAAGGCTGTACGGGGGAGCTTTGTCTTTGTATGCGTTTGATATAGAACAATCCCTTTAGTTCCCCGAAAAATCCTCACCAAGTCTCAAGGCTCCTTTTTCAGAAGGGCGCGCAGCTTCTGGGTTGTTTGTCCATTTTTATTTACGAGCGTTTGGCTCAAAGAAGGAAAACTGAGTTACCGGTGAAAACCGCCACGCATACAAAGCAGTGACTTGCGCAGGTAGATTCAAGAATCCATTGCTGCACTGCTTTCTCCTGGCCGCGGCATTTAAAGTCCGTAACACCTCGTATGCAAGGGCAGTCAATCATCCAACTTCTCCATAATAGAGGGTTTTTTTGGGTTATAAAGGTAATATAAATGTGTTGTTAAACCCACCTACCACCACCCGACACAGCCAATTAGTAAGGTTTGTCACGTAAACAAAACGTGCCAATTCGTTAGTTGTACAGAACACCGGTGTGTTGGAGAGTAAACCCACAACATTTACAGTTTGAGTACGACGTTTCGCCAGTAATTACAACTAGCATCATTAGGCTACAGCCAGATTTGTGGAGAAGTCCTCCTGTTTAACCCAAAAAGCCATGCCAATTCTAACCCAATAAATTGTAATAACCTATGTGTTAAACCATCCAGCGTCTATCTTCGCAAATAACAGATGGCTGTGCCTACTGGCTGCTGGACATCTGTGAAAAAGAGCTTCATAGCTCATCGGATTTCTCCTGCAATCTAAATTAATATTCTGATTTTCACTCCCTTCGGCAACTCCGGCTCGATGTCAACAACCGCATCCCAACGTCACACGGACGCTGCGGATAGCTTGTGCAACGAATTGGAGACTCGACTGCTCACTCGCTTGCTCGCTCGCTCGCTCATCACTTAAACACTCGCAACACTCTTGCACGCACTCACCCACTCTTGCACGCCCACAAGCTCGCTCATTCACACGTGACTAATGCGCACGTGGAAACTCGACGACACTCCACAGTCCGAACGTGGTGAACAAATCAAACAATGGGACATCGGAGCGACCCGCTCTCTCACTGTTGCATCTTTACGCATTTCCCGGAAACGTCTCTGAGATTCACTCCGCGTCTCCCGAAGCTCTTGACATCGCACGGCAAAAGGTTGCCATTCTTCCATATGACGTCATCGTGTGACGTTTGTGGGGCCGTGTGAGCGGTGCTGCATTGGTTAGCGCACGACGCTACGATGCCAGCGACCTGAGTTCCATTCTCCGCCATGGCTAACATCGGTGGCGAATACCTGAACCAGTCCTGGACGTCGCCCTATGTCAACTCAACCTTAAATGATTACCTGATGTGCTGTGCGTGGTCCTGGCCACACCAACCGATTGTGCACCGTGGCTGGCCCTTCATAGGTGCTGCTACTCGCTAGCAGCATTTGCCCCGACAGGTCTATTCCAGGCTGTACGGGGGAGGGGGGGGGCGGGGCGGTGGGAGCGATCTTTGTCTTGACTGCGGTGATGTCGCTGCGCGCGTGCAGGTGCAGAACATGAGCAACATCGTCGTCTTCCCGCTCGACTGCCTGCTCAAGGGGGACCTCAAGGGGGCCAAAGGGGTACGGGACGTTCCGCGGCTTCTCGCCGGATGTCGCTCGCTCGCAAACGTCTCCTCGCGTGCGCTTCCTGCGGTTTTAGTCCGGAAGAACGTTTTTTTTTTTTCCGAAGCGCTTTTCGAACGACGGTCGTGCCACTGCTGTTACTAAAAACTGTTTTTTTTCTTGACAAGGTAAGGTAAAAATTGTAACAAAAAATGTAATTTAAATTTTTTTTTCAATTTGACCAGGTATGGCTCTTTTTCAGGAGCGACTTGGCCACAAAATGACGGCTTAACGAAATTGGCTCATCTCGTGGAAATGTACAGCGGCCAAATACTCTGAACGCAAACTCCAAATGTACAGCAGGCTTCAGGGTCGGGATATAGCCCACGACCTCGTGTATACCAGGCGAGGTAGTTAACATCTCACCACCGCAGCGCCCCAGAAAATTATTGCAGACCGAATGAGTAAGTATGAAATGTAGTGGTACATCTTATCTAGATTTACAAAGCGCCTTTATCCAAGGCGCTTTACGGCAACAATTTTTTTTTTTACATATGGTGATAGTGGTTGAGATAGAGTGGGATTATTAGAAGTGGTGGTGTAGTCATGGTGATAGCTGGGAGAGCAGGGAGAGAGGAGAGGGTTACACTCGTGCCTTACAGCAAGAAGCACCTGGGTTCGATTCCCAATATGGGTGTCTTTCTGTATGGAGTTAGAATGTACTCCCCCCTGCTCCGCAAGGGTTTCCTCCCAGGCTACAAACAGTGTGCACTGTCAGTGGTATCGGCCAAACATCCCATTGCTGCTTGGCATCAAACATTAGCGACGTTCTCCCCCCCCTGCCCTCCCACTGTGCAAACTTGGCAGGACCCTCCTAGAAAGGGGTCTTGAGACTCAGGCTTTCCTGGGTAAACAAGCAAATAAATGAACAGGTGTTACAGGCTGTGTAGGGCGACTCGGGTAATAGAAGGCACCCGGCACACTACATCCTGTGTACATCTCGCTATGGCTGTGGCTATTCGTCGCTGCTCCCAGTCAACGGTAACCCAAAACTATTAACCTCTGGACAAATGCAATATATTCAGAGCCCACACGGGTGTAGCGGTTAGCGCGCTGCGCTACGAACCCGGGGACCCGACTTAGCTCCCCGCTCACGGCCAACATCGGTGACGATTATCTGAACCGGTCCTGGGCCTCCCCTAGGTCGACTCGGCCTCAAATGAGCACCCGTTGCGGTGTGTAGACATCAACACTGGGGAGACAAAGGCGGTCGGGCGTGGTGCTGGCCACCTACCCCCTCGTGTACCTTGCCGGCCTTCATAGGTGTCGTATACCCTTGACTACCAAACGACTGCACCAATGTCCTTATGCAATCTATGTCTGGATTAGAGATGCCTCGTAGCGTTCAGTTGTAATCACACTCTTGTGCAGATTATGTGCGCTATTTATATCTGCCATCTCCAGCCGCTCGGAGTATTGAGCATGCCCCCTGGTGGTCGTTACAAAAGCACGGAACAACAATTCATCAGTTCATGCGATGTGTGAAGTCTGTTGAACTTCTTGTGCCCCGTACGTAGCCAACTGCGACAATCGGAGGTGCCGGGGAAGGACAACAATCTAAACACAAAAAGCAACAATTGGTTTTAGAAATTAATGACAGTGATACAATTATTTTGTAAGCTTTTCGATTAGATTTTAATTGCAATATTATTTTTAATTTATCCTGGAAAGCATCACAGTTATCAGACTGATTTTCTAATTTGAGTGTTTGGAAATATTTTACACTCAGTTTGTTGTTCCCTAAGTTTAACTGTATACATCTAACCCCACTGAAGCTTCAAGAATACAATATAAATTTCCTAAATATATTTTTTAAATGCTCCGAGTTACCACTAATTTGCAAAATAGCGCATATGATTAATTTCTTAAAATCTAAAGTATGACCCACCTCTCGGTTCATCATATATTCCGGCAGATATTTTCCGCACCCGGCACACCACATCTAGAATGGTCCTCTCGTTGTGGATACTGAATCGTGCGCCACCTCCAGTCTCTACGGGCGGCCCGGGAACATTCTCCAGTGAGAAATGAAGCCGCGAGCGATTGGATTCAGCCGAACTCCTGCAGCTGCGGTGGCTGTGGGGATAGATACTGATGCTGCTGCTGCTACTGCCTCAGCCAAGGTGCTGCCCAGGTCTCCCTTGAAAAAAAGAGCTCCTGGTCTCAATGGGCGCTTAGCCAATGATAAACAAATCTGATCTCAGCACCATCATCCATCACCGTTGTCATCGGCCCGATCGGTTCACTGCCAGATGAAGACGTTCCCAAGCCGTCGCCATCTCTCGCGGCCTTTGCCCTGCGCGTGAGCTGATTTCGTCGCTCCATCTCCACGATGGGCCGCCCTCTCCCCCGCATTGCGGTTCATCGTAATCGGTCACCTGCTTTGACGTGGAGGCATCGGAAAATTATTCCAGAGTGCGCGCACGGGTAATCCACACCGCCCGGATGCCCACGTCGCCCGGCGGTGTCCCGTCGGGACGATTGTTACGATTGTAAAGGGGACGCATTAACGGCTGCGCCGATGCCCGGTTTGCTCACAGCGCGTCGTATAATGAATAGCGGCGCGCGAGCCGTTCCTGGCCGTCACTCTCTCTGCTTGTGGCCCTGACGGCTGCCACGTCCGCGTGGGGTGAGGGGTGACGGGGGTCGGAGGTTAGGCGTGCCGCGAAACGTTTAATGGCTCCGTCGCGAGTTGTCATTTAAAAAAAAAAGTGCCGCAGCTGTTTATTCTTACTGATGCGCGCGCATTTGCGGAACGAGTACGTTTTTATAACGCGTGTCAAACGTGCTGATGGACGTCCGCTCGCTCGGTGCCGGCGGTGTGGGGTGGGGTGGCGGAGAAGGCGTGGGGGGATTTTTTGAGCAACCGGTCGTTGTCGGTCGTCGTCACTCCTCGCTGCGACCGCACGTCTCCCTCGCTCGGCAACATCACGGCCAACTGCGATGCCGCCGCCTTTCCGGCTCGACAGCTGAAGCGGCGCTGCGATTCATCGGCAGGTCTCGTCCAGCGTTCTTCATTGCAAGGCCCGCGGGCCACTGGCGGCCCCTCGTGGTCTTTAGTGCGGCCCCTGACGTTCGGCCCCCCGACAAATACACAACAAACGTGAAAAAAACCAAACATCATGCTGTCAAACCCCCAAAGGTTTCAAACGTATGGTGGCCCCCCTCACACTGATGATGTCTTATCGGCGAAAGTGGGGCCCCCTCCTTTGAAAATTAGTGAAGAAAACTGTCCTAGCCGCTTGACCCATCCGCGTTGTGAGCGAGCGGCGCTTTAATCATTGTTTGTTCAAGGCGCCTTCGCGTTGTCGTGCTTAAAACACATGCCCCCCCCCCCCCCCCCCCCCTGCGGTGAAAGTGGCGTTTGTTACGGCATTGATAAAATGCTAATTGTGGAGCTGCTTTACCAGAGTACGTCGTTGTGCAATTAATGCCCGTTTGGCAAGGCTTTTCAAGACGCTGCCAAAAATAATCGTTGGTTATTTTTTTAATTGAGTCGTCGCTAGCAAAACGATAGGCGCACCGGCGAACCGAGAGCAGCGACAGGAGCCGTGAATGCCTTGCCGTTTTAGAATGTTGGCAGTGCGTCGCGTCAATGTAACATTTTTTGGTTTGGAGACGTCACTGGTGATCGCACGAGCCTGCGCAACGCCGGGAATGTGCGTGCTCTCGTTTTTGCCGAGCGGGCATCGCCGTAATTATGCCGTGCGTGTCTCGTAATATTTATCGCCCGGCGGGTAATTATGCTTAAAGGGGAAGTGTATGGGTCAACGTAAAAAAAAAAAAAAACACGATAAGTTCAGACCTTACACGCGTAATAACTCCTTAGGCAAATTAAGCTGGATTATTCGGTCATTCAGTTTCTGCAATCTGCCCTGCCCAGTATTGTGCCCCGTGGGATCCATGAAGGTCACGGTGCTTGGCTTGCTTGACAATAAGGAGTTAAATCGACGTGCCACATGCTGGGATGGCAATGTGTTCGTGACAATGCCCAAGAGGGGCTTTGTGAGCCCAGGCGATGGCTCCGTCGCCACTCGGCCACGCTCGGCAAGCACGCGATTTTCACTCTCACGGCCTCCTCATCCGTGCTCCTTTTCCGTTTGTATTTTTTTCAGGACCTCAAGAAGCCATTCGACAAAGCTTGGAAGGACTATGAGACAAAGTTGTAAGTGTCTCTCCGCTGTCTCCGTGTAGGTTGGGCTACGTGAGAGGGAAAATATCGATTTGTTTTTTTTAATCGGCACAGTTTTTTGGGCCTGCGCGCATCTCTCCTCGCCACTGTACCTGGGCTCATCGTCACGGGCACGGGAGGGAGTGGGTGGTAGGGGGGTGTGGGTGGTAGGGGGGTGTGGGTGGTAGGGCGGGCGTGGGTGGTAGGGGGGGTGTCGGTGGTAGTGGAGTGGTTAGCGTTGCGATACGAACCCGGGAACGCGAGTTCAAATTCCGCTCACGGCCAACACCGGTTGACGATTATCTGAACCGGTCCTGGACCTCCTCTGGGTTGACTCAGCCTCAAATGAGTACCTGGTGCTGTGTATAAACATGACCAATAGGGAAACAATGGTGGTCAGTGTGTGATGCTGGCCACCCACCCCCTCGTGTTCCGTGCCAGCTTTCATAGGTGCTCGCTAACAGCACTTGCCATAACAGTCTGTTAAGGCTATACGGGCGATCTTTGCCTTTGTGGGTGGTAGGGGGCGGGGGTGGGGGCACTTCTGAAATTCATATCTTTTAAGCAGGGCACTGCATTAGTAACAAGTCAATAAAAAATTCGCTGTATATATTTGTCTGGTTGAACATCAACCCGCCACCGAGCGCGGGCCAAGCACGCAACGCTTCCAATGCCGCTCGCAGCCTCAAGATCGAGAAGGAGAAGAAGGAGCACGCGAGGCAGCACGGCATGATCCGCACCGAGATCACGGGCGCCGAGATCGCCGAGGACATGGAGAAGGAGCGCCGCGTCTTCCAGCTGCAGATGTGCGAGGTAGTCGAGCCACGGGCGCCGCCTCGCAGCGCACGCCGCACCCCCCACGCGCCGCTGCCCGCCACGCACTGCACTGCAAGTGACGTCAACGAGCAGCGCCTCCGAAGGCCGGCACGGCATGCGAGGGAGTGGCCGCATTGGTCTCCTTTCGCGGTGACGTTTGCACGCCGCACCAGGTGCTCGTTTCAGGCCGAGACGACCTAGGGGAGGACCAGGGCCAGTCCGGATAGTTGTCACCGGTGTTGGCAGTGAGCGGGAGTCGAACTCTGGTTGCCAAGTATGTTGCACAGCGCCCCTAGCTGCTGCACCACCGCTCTCCACCACGCACACAGACATACACAGCGCCGCCACCATTGGCTGCTATTCATTTAACCAGTGGCGCTAGCAAGGAGGGCCCTCCTTCATAGGCGACAGATAAAGTTGCATTTTTTTTCTACTTATTTGAGATGTGATTTCTTGCTCAAATGAGCATTGAGGCAGTGGTCATCTTCAGTTTACAGCTCAGAGTCTTCACCCACAAAGTGGCGCTGTTACTAATGAATGGAATAATTTGTGATGTTGCTGTGGAGTCATTGGTTAGCACACTGGGCTTGCAATACACCGGTCAATTGTTCAACCTCCCATCATTTTACATAACTAGTGAGCAAGGAAGCGATCGCAGACCGCATACCTCCTCTAGACTCGTATAGCACCTTTATGCAAGGCCGCTTTACAGCAATGACAAAAAAATGTTGCATTCGTTGAGATAGAGAATTTGATTATCGAAAGTGGCGGTGGCGGTGGTGGAGTTATGGTGATAGTTGGGAGGGCAGGCGAGAGAGGTCATGTACGGTTTGGGGTAGTGATAGGGGTTGGGGTTAGAGGTAGGGGTAGTGATAGGGGTTGGGGGTAGGGGTAGTGATAGGGGTTAGGGGTAGGGGTAGTGATAGGGGGTAGGGGTAGGGGTAGTGGTTGGGGTAGGGGGTAGTGATAGGGGTTGGGGGTAGGGGTAGTGATAGGGGTTGGGGGTAGGGGTAGTGATAGGGGTTGGGGGTAGTGATAGGGGTTGGGGGTAGCCTGGTCTTAGCTGGGGGGCAGGGAGTAGCAGTGGCAGGGTGGGCTCGGGAGGAGAGACAGGTTTTAAGGGAGAAGTCACCAGAAATTCAGGACACCCGATTTAAATCTCCATTTGAACATTTCTCAATTTAAAATCCAGTTTCAAGCCGTGGACAAAGCTGCCCTCGTGGAATGGTCAGCAAGCTCGAAAGCTCGAATCGCAATCCAGAGGTCGCCGGTTCGATGCGACTTCCCGGCGTGACGGTTGAGACAACGGCGGAGGTGTTTTTGAACCACCTCCTCCCCACCGCCGCCTCCGTGTGCCCAGCGGTGCAGATGGGTTGAGCACAGTGAGTCTACGGTGGAAGAGGAGGCCAAATACCATCTAGAGGGGCCCTCTAGAGCTCCCTCTAGCGGAGGCCCTTCCCCCAGCAGTGGCGTGAGCAAGACATTGCTGCGCCTTCAGATTTTAATTGAAAATAATTAAATATGAAGACCAAAACAATCCTCAGCGTGAGAGTGCAAGGTTACCACCAGCAGGGGCACGCAAGGGCACGCATTCCCCAATGACGTCGGCCTACCACGCCCTCTGCTTCGCAGTGACCTTGTGCCGCTCTCATTTTTGTACGCCAAACGTCGGAATAAAACAACAACAAAGAATCCCCCCGCCCCCCCCCCCCCCAAAAAAAAAATGAAGAAAATACCCAAAAACAAGAGAGCGCAGGTCCTGCTGTGGTCCTGCTGTGGTCCTGCTGTGGTCCTGCTGTGGTCCTGCTGTGGTCCTGCTGTGGTCCTGCGCCAGTGAGATTCTCGCCTTGAGGCTGCGCTCACCGTGCCGATGCCAAGTCTTGGCTGCAGCTCGGTCTGCATGAGAGCAGCCGCGGGCTCCGCCGATATCCATGCGGGACGATGCTGCCCCATAGAGGGAATAAATGTCCCTCCGTGATTTGTGTCTGTTTTGCTGACGTCCTTTGTCTGGACGTGTTTATTTCATCTTTGGACACGTGCCATGCAATGACTGCTGGCGGCACTGCAGTTTATTCTGGTCTTAAAACGGAATTGGCTGCTGCTGCTGCTGCTGCTGCTGCCAGCACCGACGCTTATTTGTTTTACAGACTGCTGGAATGACGGGCTTGATAGATTCTGAATGAGCGAGGCAGAGATATGGATTGTGACAGTCTGATGGCTCTTCAACTCCCCTCGATGATGAAATCTCTCTCTGGAATCGAAGCCGGTTAATGTTGTCATTCACAGTCAAATTCTGCCGAGCGCCGGCGGAGTGGTTAGCGCTAAAACAGGTGGCAGGTTAACTGCTAAACTATTTGTTATTTAACCAGGTCAGGCCCACTGAGCTATGTAGCTCTTTTTCAAAAGTGACCTGGCCACAAATGATCACCCCATGAAGTGGCTTGTCATGCGTTGGTCACTTTGGGCTCGTAAACGTGCGTAGAGCAGCAGGCTTCTTGCGGTGACACCTCTTGCTTCGTGTTCCCCCAGTACCTGATCAAGGTGAACGAGATCAAGACCAAGAAGGGAGTGGATCTGCTGCAGCATCTCATCAAGTTCTACCACGCGCAGTGCAAGTAGGCGGCTCGCCCACCCCCGACATGCGTCGCGTCGGAGATGCGTGTTTTTGCCGGCCCATCGGTGTGCCAGCGACGTCCCATTGAGATTGGTCAGCCCTGTCCCCTGCCCTACAGCTACAACCAGGCCTACTCCAACCTCTATCACTACACCATACCCTATCACTACCTCTATCACTGCCCTACCTCTATAACTACACCATACCCTATCACTACCCCTATCACTACACCATACTCTATCACTACCCCTATTATTACCCCTATCACTACACCCTCACTCAGCCTCCCATCTACGACCAGGCCTACTCCAACCGCTCCTTAACCAATCCATACAGAAAGCCACCCGAGTTGGGAATCGAGCCTAGGTCCTTCTTGCTGTGAGACACGAGTCTCCTGACTATCACCATAGCGGCATAGCTACACCACCACTTTTAATAAACCCACTCTTTATCTCAACCAGGATAATCTCACGTGCAATTTTAGAATTGTTGCAAAGCACCCCTGAATAAGTCGCTATATACATCTAGATACGATAATGTATAATATCCTTGAATACATCATTTGTTTTATTTATAGCATCAAAAACTACGGAAGCAGGCGAGAGATCGGGGGGGGGGGGGTGGGGGGGGATACGGCATCCTCCGAATGGCCGAGGCACACGCGCACAATCGTAGTGCTCTCCGGACGTGTGACGGGCGTGAGCGAGCAGTCCTGGCCACTCTCCAGGGGAGTTGTCTCTCGAGTTGCCTGCAACGGAGGGTCTTCCACCAGCAGTGGCTTGAGCAAGCAGTCTGACACGTAGCAGTAGTAGGGCTTTCACGACCAATATCATCCATAATGAAGGTTTTTTTTGGTGAGATCGCGTAAATATAAACGTGTCGTTAACCCGCCGCCACCGGACACAGCCAATTGGTAAGCTTTGTCACGGAGAACCATGGAAGACCTCTTCGCAATTGTGGCTAATCATATGACGAAGCTGGTTGTAATCACCAACGGAACGTCGTACTCAAACTGTAAATGTTGTTTGGTTTCCCCTCCAACACACAGCCGGTGTGTTGAAGTGGTAACGAGTTGGTGCGCTTTGTCTCCGTGGCAAACCCTTGGTGATTGAGCGAGCAATCGCGCGGGGCCTTTTTTTGCCGTGGCCTGAATTTCTTTTTTGTTTCCTTGCGCAGTTTCTTTCAGGATGGCCTCAAAGCCGTCGAGTCCCTCAAGTCGTACGTGGAGAAACTGGCCAACGACCTCTACACGGTGAGTGCGGATCGCGAGCGCCAAATTATGCCGCTCCAAATGGCTCCCCTCTGCCCACCCCCCCTGCCCACCGGTAATTAGAACGGACAGGTTATACAATATGCCGTGTTGTTGTGAGCACTAAGCGCCTAAAAGCCATTGGGGAAAAATGAAAAAACAGAAACAGGACAAAAATACCCTTCGCCGTTTTGAGAGGCAGCCGCTTTCACTGTCAAACTGAAATACGCTCGTTTTTGGGCGTTGCGTCAATTCGAGCTGGAGCCTGCGAGCGAGCACCGTGGCCCGGAGGGACGCACGGAGCCCTCGCCATTGATGTGTGGGTTGAGCGCCAACGTCGGCGTCTGGCAGGGAGAGGCTGCTTTTTTTTATTACAATTTGCCAAATGCTCCAGTAAAGGGTCTAAACGCCAAGCTGCCAGCAACTAACATCACTGTTGAAATGGACACGGGTTGAATCGAGTAAGGTTATGAGGATGACGTCTTATCATCTTAGCCTGCGAAGCGGATGCTCTTCGTGATAGATTGCGTCTGAAAGTTTTGGATAACACTTCCATCGACTTGGCAGGTTGTCTGCAGGATAAATCCCGAATAGCGACAACGTTATCGACTAAAAGTTTCATTCGTTTTGGACCATCTTTACAGGAGTTATCGTGACCCCACTTTGCAGACCAACGGACAAACGGGCAGAGTCAGTGCTAACTTAACACACGGATTTTTCTATTCTTGTGATTTAGTCTGACTTCCTGGTGTCTAGCCTGAAGCGCCACGAATCTAATTGATGACTTTTGTCGTGAGAATCGCTCTTGCACTCACCGTTGGCGAGCGAGCCACAACAACAATAATTCGCGCGCTGTTAAACCCTCGTACTCGGGATCATTTAATTTGTTTGGCTATGCCGGGCGGTGGAGAGCCTCGCAACGTAAATTTGGCTCAATCGCTACGTCGCCTCTCCCAAAAATCAATTTTAAATCGCGATATTGGCTTGTGCGAAACCTACTTGCTGAATCATAGTGACTGTTGAGAAAAGTAAGTGGCATTGGGCAGTGACGCACCACGTGGCTAGATAGGATGATGATGATGATGACGGCCGTCCGTGGAGACGAGCGACAGAGTGGCATCCGAAGCGTGGGGGGAACCGCACGGCAGAGAGGGGGGGCATCCGCCGCAGAGTTGCGCCGACGCTTCCTACGATCGTCGCCGCTCACGACGCATGCCCCGTGCGCTTGTCCCCCGGCACGCAGATCAAGCAGAGTCAGGACGAGGAGCGCAAGCAGCTGTGCTCGCTGCGGGACACGCTCAAGACCTGCCTGCAGGTGGAGCAGAAAGAGGTACGGGCGACCGTGACATCACCAGGGGGGTGCACGTGACGGGTCAGGGCGGTTGCGATGTCTGGAGCTCCCCACCCCGCCCTATCCCGTTAGGGGGGTGTGCCGGTTATGGTTTGGGTGGCAGGTAGGGAAAAAAAGCTGTTAATTGACTTGTTGTTTAAAATTGATTTTAAAGGCAATGATGCCCGCATCATATAGTAGAAGAGTGAGGACCGGCGCTTAGGGTGCACTGCGGTGGGTCCTGCACCACCAGATCTCTCCCCGCTGCTTCAAATTTAAACATGATAAGCCACTTCGTTGAGCTATTATTTGTGGCCAGGTCGCTTCTGAAAAAGAGCTGTATAGCTCAGTGGGCCTTACCTGGTACAATAACAATAGTTAATAGTAAAAAAAAAATCGCCAAGGAATGAAGATGTGCGTGCGCCCGGTTGCCACCGGGCCCATTAGCTGGTGTGGGCTAAGGGCTTGTGCCACGATTGAATCCTACATCGCCAATGGGCACGGGTGGGAACTTTTTAATTTGGGCCATCAAATACCTTTGGCGGGCAACCACACTTTTGACGCACGCGCCTCAGTCCCTTCCGCCGCTGCTGCAATAGACGCGAGGCCCTTCGAGTGTCAGCGGTGACCGAGGGCGGCGCTAAAATTAGACACGGCGCCTTGGGCAGGTCGAAAATTGTCCTCCTCTAGTACCCGATTAGTGTTGCTCGGATGCTCGCTGTGGCGAATCAATATCGTGTGCGGGGCCGCGTCGCAGTGGCAGGGCGTCGTGTGGCCACGGGCTGCCGGAGTCCCCCCAGCCTTAGCCAAGAGGTTCAGCGGGAACAATTAATGATGTTCTGACTCTAAACCCCCCTGATGATTAGTGCGGCTGAGATAAAAATAGAAAGGCTCCGGCAGTCGGCTGTTAGTGTCAAAAGTAATGCGGTGTAAATTCACGCGGGACCCGGAATGTGAACGAAAAGAAAGAAAATGTTTATATTCACTCCACTTCGCGAGTCCTTTCTCAATCCACTGCTGGATGAGGGCTCCGCCCCCCACGCCGTGCCGTCTTGGCCGTGGAGCGGAGGCGGGAGCGGTTATCGAGTTGCACTCTGAAACCGGTCCGAGTACCCCCCCCCCTTCCCCATTTACCTTCTCTCACACTGGCCAGCGTGGGGAAGTATGGTCAAACAACCCCCCACGACTGATGGTGGATTATCTCACCGGCTTGTGCGTTGTATCATTCTGTCTGGCCAATTCCACGTTCGTCTTTGCACGTGACTTGAATTGTACAGTGCGGGGAGTCTCATCAAGTCAAAATCGGTGTCTTCTCTGCTCAGAAGTGCGAAGGGCAGTGCTCATTTGTATTGGTAGCTCTTAAGAGGGTGGTGAAAATTCCACATTCATATGGGGAGGGGGTGCCAGCATATCGATAAAACGTGCTGAAAGTGGGAGATTAAACGTCTTTTAAAAAATATAACTTACAAATCTGTTAAGAGAAAAATGATTTCCATCGTCTTTATTCAACTCGGTGAACATTTCCTTGTGAGGTTTTTCCCCCTTGGAACCGCTTTAGACATTCGGTTGAGACATTTAATCTGAGAAGTGTTCGATCCGGAGCATTTCGCCAACGTTCGTTGCCACTGGCAGCTAATGTTCTTCTGATGGCAGAAGCAGCCGCGGCGGCAGCTTCAGCTTCAAAGCAATCGTCCGCATTAAAAATGCATCGCAGCCCGGCAGCGTAAGAGGCATTAAAAGCCAGGAGCCGCCCGTCTCCCACATTTGAAAGTGCGCAACCATCTCGAGGGCAGTTTAACTCTCCCCTCGACCGTCGCGCCAGGCAATGGCAAGGAGCGGTGGCATCGTTGGGCCTCGTTCGGGGGCCTCGTTTTGACGGCCGGTTCAATTGCCATGGACACTATGGCCGTGGTGTAACGGTTGGCATACTGGACTTTGTAATCCAGAGGTCGCCGGATTGGTGCGATTCAAATACTCCAGCGGAATCCGTGGATACACCACAGTTAGCCGATCGGCAGGTCGCGTGTGGTGGGGTAGAGCGTGTGGTTTGCTCCCACCTCTTCCAAGACGTCTTGCCAGCGCTGAAGAAGAGGCCAAGTGTCCTCTAGAGGGGCTCTCTGGTGTATAAATGTATGTTTAACTTTTCTCGCACCGCACGTACCCAACTGTGCTAATCGGAGGTGCGGGGAGAAGGACAACAAACTAAACACACCAAAAATAATAATAGTGCTCCCTATAGCACAGGGCCCTTCCGCCAGCAGTGTTGTGAGCAAGCAATCACAGGGCTGCACCTTTACCTTCAAATGCCTCCTTGTGATAAATATATTTAAAGGCGCGATTGTGTTCATTGTTTGGATTGTTTCCTTTAATGTCACATCCAAAATTAAATATATAGGTAATATTAGAAGACGAACACGGAGAAGGAGAAAGGGGGTGGCTGAGACTGCGTGAGCGGTGACTGCGTTACTAAGTTTTCAACGCCCAGATGCACTTCACCACTAAATCACTGTTGGAGGGAACGGAGTAGCTGGGGCCAGTGTTCCGCTCGAGGCGGAGCGCAGCGCCAAAGGGCTCCTCCTGCGATGCTGACGACGATAATAAACGTGCTTAAACTTCCCAAACCCGTACTGCTGACCCTGAGCACCCTGCTGCAAGGCTGCAATGTAAAGATATATAAATCCTATAGCCATATAATGGGAGAGAAGTGGTGCAGTGGCTAAGACGTTGCGCAATTAAACTAGCCGCCAGAATCGTTGGATTCCCGGCCACGGTTAACATCATTGGCGGCTCACGAGTGAGAACCGGTCCTGGGCGCACTCCCTACTACCTGCTCACCGGCTTGTACTGAACAGTGTGATGAAGTATGGTCACATGACCGCCGTGACCAACAAGGCGAGGTGGGGGGGGTGGTGAGGCCTTCATCCCGAAGTGGATTGACGAGGGGGCTCCGAGTCGTCAATTATTTGGCAATGAAAGAGACGTCCCGCTCAAGGCAGGGAAAAAAGAAGGCACTCGCAAAAGGTGGAGAGGAAGCAGCAGGGGGCAATCCGATTCTGCCATGTCAGGGGGGGCGGGGGGGGGTGATGCTGTGTGAAGATTAGCACGTGAGGCAGGTATTTGATCTCCTCCTGCGCGGGTGCCCTTTGGGCTCCCTGATTAAGCGACTTTCCCGGGGTAGCTGAGATGGCACAGCGGGGGGTGGGGGAGGTGCTCGATTGCTTGGGAAAGATGAATCTCGAGGTGAAGGAAGGTGGCGAGGATCTACCATCATTTATTCGGCCCTCTGGGGCGGACGGGGGTTGGGGGGATGGGATAGACGATGGTGACTCTTCTCACTGATAAGGACTCGGACAAACGTTTATCCGGCCGTCGGAGTTGGCCCTTCAGCGGCACGTGGAAACGAGCGTCCAGGGGTAACCACACCGAGACGTGCCGCCATCCGGGCCTCATGCCATCGACTCATCCCGCAGCGCGGCAGACGCCGCTCGTTTTTGTTTTGTCGGCATCGTCGCGTCGGCTCCCGCTCGCCAATCTGGCCGCCGTAGCCATCCGCAGATCGACTGAGCTACCTACCTCCGTGAGCACCCATTACAGCAATTACCTGATAATCCTTAGCGTGGCTGCAATATTGAGGGCCGTGCACCACGAGAGGGGGTTTGTGGGTGCAGCGGGGTGGTTGGAGAAGAGGGAGCGGTGTGGAGATTGGGGCGGAGCACCGGAGAGCTTTACGGTTGCTGCTGCTGCTGCTTCTGCACGCTATCCCGTTGCAGAATAATGGATCGTCAGCAAATAAATTATACAGAGCCGTGACACTTCCCCCGCTGCACTGCGGTCAGGATTCCGGAGGCACGGGGGGGTGTGGTGGAGATCCATGGCCGGATGCTCCGGCGTCCGCCCCTTAAAAGATCTCTGCCCTTGGGCTCTGCCTCTAAAGCTCCGTGCCGGGGAGTATGGTCCTCAGTGGTGCTCGTTGTCGCTTAGTGCCGTGTCGACCGCCGATTCATTCGTGGGACGCTTGCGGGCGAGTGGGAGCCGGCTGCCGTAGGCCTCGTTCGCGTAAACATGCATCTCAGGGCCAACCCCACCTTAGGCTCCTGCTGCCGGTAACGTGTGGCTTTTTGGTTCACGGTAACGCGTGGCTTTTTGGTTCACAGTCACGTGTATCTTTTTGGTTCATGGTAATGTGTGGTTTCTTGGTTCATGGTAATGAGTGGCTTTTTGGTTCATGGTAACGTGTGGCTTTTTGGTTCATGGTAACGTGTGGCTTTTTGGTTCACAGTAATGAGTGGCTTTTTGGTTCATGGTAACGTGTGGCTTTTTGGTTCATGGTAACGTGTGGATTTTTGGTTCATGGTAACGTTTGGCTTTTTGGTGCATGGTAACGTGTGGCTTTTTGGTTCATGGTAACGAGTGGCTTTTTGGTTCATGGTAACGTGTGGCTTTTTGGTTCATGGTAACGTGTGGCTTTTTGATTCACGTGCTCATCTCCGTTTGTTATTCTGCGTTTCTCAAACAAAATTCGGTTGCCATTGACGAGAATGCGTGGAGCTGTTCGCCTTGCCAGTCGTGTGGCCGTTGAGTTTTTTTAAATTTAGAGATCTCTCAGGAGAGTAACGCCACACAAGCTCCAGGTGTTAAGTTGGCACGTTGCGTCATTGGTGCTGCAAATTGGTTTTTCGCCAAATTTAACGTGCGAACGGGAGGCGATGGTGACGTTAATTTTGGTTCCGGAGATGGCCACCACGTGTTGTCCCCGCATTCGGCTAGTGCGAGTAAGGGCGGGCTCCAAGCCCTCGCCCATTTTTGTCACAGCCGTCAGCCGTCCTGCTCTCCGAAGACGTGTCGGGGAGTGTTTCACGGAGGTGTTTGAAGGTGCTTTGCAACGAGCGCCGTTACAGCTCTCCGATGTGCTCTCAAAATGTTCGGTATTGATGTCCAACGTTTCGCTCCACATGCTGTTGGGAGCTTCTTCACCAACCATGTTCAGGAAGTGTGTTCCTGAAGAAGCTCCCAGCACGCGGAGCGAAACGTTGGACACCGTGCCGAGACAACACCACGGCACAGCCTCTATACACATCGGAGAGCTGTCCAGCACAACAGCGAAAACCTACGCACTGGTTTATACCTTGTCCAATTTGGCAGTGAATTTCATTTCTTTCTGCGTAGTTCATATATTGCCTATGGAGTAATTATGAACAGTTTTTTGAAAATGTAACCGGAGGATTTTTTTCTAGCTTGCTCAGTATATGGAACACATCGTTTATTTTTATTTTTTGTTGTTATTTTTTTCTGGATAACGTCTCAAGTGGCGCGATTTCCCCGGCAGAACCCTTCGTTGAGAATTATGCAAAAGGCACGCATTGCTCTGCATCAGCGCAGCACGTCAACTGTGATCAATTACCGGTTACTGTATTAGTTTGTTGTACCAGAACCCCGCTGAGTTGCTGCTGCTGTTGCTTCTGCGAACAGATTTCACTTGAACGTAACTCCGAGGTAGCGCGGCACCGCTTTCCATTTTTTTTGGGTTGCCGTAAGTTGCCGTGGCGAAGGAAGCCTTCGAAAGTCGAATTGTGAAGCGCTTTGCTTTGCCAACGTACAAAAGGAATAGGCCGTGAGGTGGCAGGGGCTCGTTCTATCTAAATGCATTCTGCTCTCTTTCTAGCAATGCGCTTGACTAATTAGCGGTAAAACCTCTAAAGCATCGCGGGCCTCGAGGATCTATTTGACAGTTCTATTTTAGTGACGAGCACGCGCCGATGTGCGAGGCGGCGCTCTTCAAACGATGTTTGTCTTTCTCTTTTGCTTTGCTTGAATTAGTGCTTTTATGGCTTTCTGTTTGTTTGTTTTTTTGTAGTTGCTTTCAACGTACGGCGGCGTGGCATTTAATCAAGGGGGGGGGGGCAGGGTGGGGGGGCATCGCCCCAGCGGCCGTGAGCTCAAAGCCAAGGCTGGTTGCCAACAATATAAAGCTGCTGCAAAAAGATCCGTGCTGTTTTCTGAGAAGTCACTAAATCTCTCGTTCCCCTCCCCCGCGCTGCCTGTTTGCCTCTTCTACTCCCAAGTCTAGAAGAGTAAGTGCAGATTTCTGTTCCGCTCCACGGTTTCCACTCCACCGCTTGCCCTCCCGCCCGCCCGCTCGCTTGCCCGCCCGTCCGTGCCATCGTCCGTGCCATCGTCCGTGCTGCCTTCCGCTCTCTTCATTGTCGCCGGATGCGTCGCGCGTTACATCTCCGCTCGCGGTGCCCTGCCGAGATTCCAGGGTTTGACTCCAGGTTTCGCCACCTGTGATGAAACCGGTGTTTATCGAGTTTGCAGTGAGATGATGGGTCTCGGCCCGGTCACCGATGACTTGCGCAAAAAAAGCATCGCATTAAACGTGGGCGGTTCGTTTGATTTGCCAGAATTCCAGCTCTTGAGAGTAATAATTTTCGATTTGACCGTCGTGTGGCGAACCTCGCCATTCATATGCACAGCGAGTGGGAAAGTGCTGCCCTCTACTGTGTGTAGAACCAGAGGTCACGTGATGAAGGGATCTCAGAGGTAGCTCTGTGGTGTCCTCTTCCGTGGGTCGTTCTCGACCACGCGGAGGTTACACTGCTCTGTGAACGATACGAAAGGTTGCATCGTCGCGTGACATCACGGCGAGAGCGCATTCGGGATAAAAGTGTGGGTGTGGATAAAATGGCAAAAACAATCAGATCCGCGGCTGTTTTAGCTGCATGTTGACACGGGAAGTCTTCTAAGTGGGCGTAGCTGTGGTGCCAGTGGCACGAAGTAGACAATGAATATTTGCGATGGAAATTACAAAAACTTCGCCTCAGTCTTTGTGAAATCGTTCCTGCCATCTCAGCTTAGATCCTAACACTTGACCATCCTGTTTCCTTTCACGGTGCGCATCGTATCCCTGTGCGTGATGTTTTTTACCGGTGATTGTTCAGTTGCAAAGTACCACAATTATTCGTCGTGTTGTGCCTGACACCTATTGAGGGTGAATGAATGTCCGTTCGATTTACGTTTTGGAATGCAATTTTATTATTATTTCTCCCTCAACTTATCAAGTGACTAATTTGGTTAATAATAACCTTTTAAGGATCAGGGGAATGTTGATGACATAAATGTTCAGTTTTACATCAATAAGTGTTAATCTCCACAACATTGACGTAAACACCAGTTTCCAGTTGCATGCAACATCGCGTGTGTGTCGTATCTCCTTGTAAAATTGTAATAATTCGTAGCCCGTGATCAAAATACACTGCTGAATTAAGGCCTGCCAATGCATTGTTACTGATGGGGTTTGTTTGACCATACTTCTAAACACGCGTTCGTTCAGATGTCACCTGCCACTGACTTTTAGCCACGGCCGGGAAATTAACTTGGGTCGCCTGGTTCGTAGTAAGTAAGTGCATTTCTCAACGCTCGCACCTTATATAACCTCGCTTACCACGAGTGGGCAAACTGCCGCGGCACCGGGCCCCCTCACTTGAACTTCCTTTATAAACAAACCTGACGGATAAAAGTTATCCTGAAGTGTTTTTTTATGCCATTAAACCGCAGGGCAGTATATCCGGTAGACGCGCGGAACGTTGCGCCAACGTTGACCCAACGACGTCGGACGAGTGAATTCGTCGATCCGAGCCGGGTGATTTATGAGCTCGGCCGCCTCCCCTGCCGGCCACTGTCGGTGGGGCCTTCCCTGCGGGGCCTGCCCACGTGCGTGTGCTACTTTGGAAGCCAATGGCGCGTTGGGGCCCGGGGACGTGTGCCCCCCGCCCCCCCCCCCCCCCCCCCCCGCTTAGTCGGCCTCGGCCGTAAGCCGGTACAGTCGGTGCTGCGGTGCATAGACACCGGCAGCGGGGGACACAAAGGTGGCCGGGCGCGGTGCTGCAGACGGAGCGCCTCCTTGCGCATCGTGCCGGCCTTCAGAATCGGTGCTCGGCCGACGACGCTTCGCCCTCCCCCCCCCCCCCCCCGCAACCCCAAACAGCCTGCTGCGTGATGTTTGCGCTCGTGGGTGTCGTGTGCCAGGATTCGCAGGGAAGGCAGAGCGGTGCCGGCTACAGCCTGCACCAGCTGCAGGGCAACAAGGAGCACGGCAGCGAACGCACCGGCTACCTTTTCAAGAAGAGCGAGGGGTGAGCGAGCAGGCCGGACGCTCGCGCGTGCAGGAGGTGCCGGTGCGGGTCAGGGCGATGGTTACGTGTGGCTGGTACCACACGGCCGTGGTGGCGGAGTGTGCAGCAGCATGCTGTGGCTGCTACTGCTGGAGCAGGAGGAGGGTGGCTGTGTATGTGCTTTTTAATAAAGGTGCAGCTTTTGTAGGGTTGGTTGAGAACACGTGCAGGAGGAGGAATGCTGGGTACAAAAATATAACGTTTACCCAGGAGAGCCTCGCCGAGTCTCAAGACTTTTTCAGAAGGGCCCTGCCACGTTTCGTCGTTGTGGGCGGTGATTGCGATGTGCTTTTCCCCCATTTGGAGGAATTTTCGGGTACACTTTCAAATTTGGTGATTTTTGAACCACGACTCCAGGCACGTGTGGCCTCTTGCTCTTTTTTTCACGCAACGTCACGGGACTTTCGAGGTCCACTGCTGAAGCAGGCTATCTGCTTAAAACGGTATTAACCGGGGTGGCTGCAGGGTTCGAACCTCTGCAACAGGTGGTAAAATGCGCTTCTGCTCGGCCACTTCACTGCCCGAATTTGCTTGGAGAACGAGGCGCTGCTCTCCCACGTATTTTTCCGGTTGGTACGCAGGAGGTCGTGGGTTCGATTCCGACCCTGATGCCTGCTTGCTGTATATTTGGATTATTCCCTCCACATTTAGAATCGACGTGCGTTTGGAGTATTTGGCTGCTATAAATTACCACACGATAAGGTCGCTCCTGAAAAAGAGCTATATATCTCAGTGAGCCTTACCTGGTCAAATATAAAAAAATAGCTTGGTTTCGCTTTTTTTTTTGCTTGTTTGGTTCGGCACTCTGTCTCCCGACGTTTTTGCTCGACACGGCCGGAGCTCCTTCGGAAACTGAAAACAACGCACGGCGAGCCGCGCATCACGACCGCGAAAACCTACGCACTCTCGGGTGTGGTGTCGCGTGCGGTTTATTCATGCCCGAAAAAATTTAGTTTGGATTTCATCACAAGAGCAAATGTAAATGTACGGTCTTGTCACGGGGAGTAGGAGACAGTGATCACTCTCTTGTGGACTCAATCTTGAATTGAGCCAAGAAAACCTCTGTGGGGCGTGGGAGTCATCTATAAATAGCACTTTCATTTAGCCAAAGACACTCGCAGTCGCACTCATTTTTAAATGCCAACCCGTCCATTGGCTCGTCACATTCTCAAATGTCAACCGCGCGAGCCTGCCCTCGCGTAGCTTCCGCGAAGATTAATTGAGCTGCCCTTACAAGTGGCGCCAAGTGCGTTACAAGTGCGAATCGCCGTCGCTTTTACCTGAACGCTGCCGCTCGCACAACACGCCGCGACATCTCTGATTGGTGTCTCCCGTGACAGTCGAGCGTTGTTGTTGTTGTTGTTGACGGATGTCGCGATACCGCCCGTGATGAGCCAAATCTCTCCCTCGCTCTCTCCGCTTCGGAAACGCGCGCGCAGAATTCGCAAGGTCTGGCAGAAGAGGTCGTGCGCGGTGAAGAATGGGTACCTGACGATCTCGCACGGCACGGTGAGGGGTTCCGCGATCCGCTCCCTCGTCTGCGTCGTCACCGCGGTTTTATTTTCACGCCAGATGTTGCCCGGACGGCTGTTCCGCTGCAGGAGATGGCCCATGACTAAGTAGTCACAAGGGGTGTGTTCCAGTTTTGCTGATCGATCCGAGGAATTCTGAAAATCGGGCCTGCGTTAAAATGTTTTGTTGCGATCCAAAATGGTTTCTTTTTGCGTCAAGATTAGTGCAAATCTGAAACTCATCCCCTTGTAGCCACAGAAATGTTTACGTTTACTTTGATTTGTTACACAAATGAATGTACGTTGAAATTGTTTGGCACTGTACATAGCCAACCGTGCTAATCGGAGGTTTTGGGGGAATGACAGCAAACCACACGGTACTGTTTAGCCAGTTGCCCGGCTATTTTACGAGGGAGATCCGTGGTGCAAGAGCACAGCAACAACAAAACAAAGACAAAAACATCAGTAGTGCAGAGAACGAGTACAGGGTCCTTGAGAAATATTGCACATCTCACAAAACGAGGTATTCAATGGTCATAATTTAAACGCAAGGGAATCAACTAAAATTGTCTTCCCCGCACGTCTCGCGCCTCTGTCCCCACAGGTGAACCAACCGCCTGCTAAGCTGAACCTGCTGACGTGCCAGGTAAAGCCGTACCCCGACGACAAGAAGAGCTTCGACCTCATCTCACGTAATTATCCCTCGTGTGCTGCACACCACCGGCAGATGCTGACTGACCCGTTCGCTCGCCCACTCTCTCACCCTCTCGCTCGCTCACCCACTCTCTCTCCCGCGCTCTCAACCGCTTTCTCATCCGGTCTCTCGCACGCTCTCTCACCCTCTCGCTCGCACGTTCGCCCGCTCTCTCGCTCGCCCGTGAGCGAGAGAGCCCATCGTGTGCACACCGCGTCTTGCGAGCCACGACGAATTCCCGGAGGATATTCACTGATATACACATTTTTTTGTTTAATGTCGCATGCCGTGCAGCGCGCTGCACTTGCAACACAGAGGTCGCCGGTTCGATGAGAAAATCCCGACTCGGCCTTTGAAACGGTTTCTTAAATCCCCCACACCACCCCCTCCCCCCCACCACCGCCTCCTCGGTCGACCCAGCGGTGTGAGTGGGCTCGGCATGGTTAGTCGATCGGCAGGTCGCGTGTGGTGGGTCAAACGTGAGTACTCCCACTTTCTCCAAGAAGTCTTACCAGTGTGGACGAGTAGACCAAAGTGTTACCCCCGAGAGGGGCTCTCCTAGAACAAGTGGTGTGAGCAAACGATTGCAGGGATGCATCCTTAACCTTGCACTGTTATTCAAAGCAGACGTAACCACTTAACCGTTACGTTTCATGAACTCTGCACGGATTTTATTAATCAATTTTGCACTTTCCCCTACATTCAGCTCTCAGCGCCTGCTTGTGCCATTTATTCTAAGGCGGCTGTCACTGCCAGCTCTGCCATCGCCGCTGCTGCGCTTTTAGAAATGCAGGCGGCATGGCGTGCCTGCCGCTGATTTGTTGATCAATCGCCGCATGTTGCCGTCCTCGGTGTGCAGACAACCGGACGTATCACTTTCAAGCCGAGGACGACCAGGACTGCCTCATGTGAGCACCCCGCCCCTCCCCGCCCCCCGCTCTCGGCACACGTATGCACGTTGAACTTTTTTTCGCGCCGTACGTAGCCAACCGTGCTAATCGGAGGTGTGACCGCGCTTACGTAGCATTCTCCGCTCGTTGCTGGGGGCCGTGGTTGGAGCCCACGGCCGCTCTGGATTTTTGTTGTTTTTATTAAGCGTTTTTATTATTATTATTGTTTTTCAAGCGCCAAGGATACAGTCGGAATATCAGAGGGAGGGTGAGACGGCGTTTAGCGAATCGTGCGATTGACGCGGCGAGTCACTGCGCCCTTGTGATTCGGGAACGGACGAGGGCAACGACCGCCCTGGTTAACTGCCGCGGGTGTGTTAACCATAAAAAAAACAAAATACACAAAGCCTGCTTCGCAGTAGACACGTTAAAGATCCGGTAAGACTCTTCAAAAAGGAGTAGTAGGCCATGTGTGCTGACAGCTTGGAAAAAAATTGCCAATTTCCTAAAATTACTTAATTGGGAAGCCCATAAATCCCTCCGACCCTCCTACAGTGACCCTCCTGGTAAAGGAGTCCCGAGACTCGGTGAGGCTTTGCCGGGGAAATAATGTCAATATAATAAACAATAGTACAGCCGTGCACTATTATACTCGAGATACTGAAGGGCAAGATCTTCAACCGGGCAGCGTCACCAATAACGTGAGTGCACTCGGCCGCTTCTGACACTGCAAGGGTGCTGTTGCCGTGACACGAGTGATTTGTTGCTTGGAGACTGGGAGATCATCGATGGCCGGGTTTGCGGTGGCGTCAGTCGTGATAGCTCACTTAACAGAGCCGGCCATTTGACGACCGCCGTCTTCCACTTGCAGTGACGGAAGCGACGCCGCGCTTGTGTCCGCAGGTGGATCTCGGTGCTGACGAACAGCAAGGAGGAGGCGCTGAACATGGCGTTCAGCGGCGAGGCGGGCAGCGATGAGTGCGACAGCGCCACGGACCTCACCAAAGACATCATCGCCGACATCCTGCGCACGCCCGGCAACAACAGCTGCTGCGACTGCGATGCGCCGGGTACGAGGCGCGTCCCCTCGGGGATCGCCCCGGCACGCTGTGCAGCGCGCCCGCGATCGCCCCCCCCCCCCCCAACGCTTTTTCCCGACGGTTCGCCGACGCGCTCGACAAGGAACTGCCGTCGGTCTTGTTTTGATGTTGGCCACAAATGGTAGCTCCACGAAGTGGCCTATCACGTGGAAATGTGTAGCAGCCAAACACCCTAAGCGCGTGTTTTTTAATGTGGAGGGGAAAAACCGGAGGCCCCAGAGAAAAATCCGCATGACCACGAGGAGGTCATGCCAATATACAGCAGGCGTCAGGGTCAGGATGGAAGCCACGAGGTAGTTAACGCTGCCGCCCCTGCCGTGAGGTTTTTGTTGAACTTGCTTGCGTTCGTGAGTCCGTTAGGAGGAGCAGGACCTGTGTCAAACGTCTCCCCCCCCCCCACCCCCTGCTGCCTCGTGCCTTTATTTAATTTCCTTGATTTGTCTCTCGTTTGCCCCAGCTCTATCCCCGCATGCCCTGTCGCCATGTCACGACAAATGGTTGTTGATTTATTTACACGTGGAGACACAGAATGGGGTCCCGCCCTTTCTACGCTTTTACCCATGATGCTCCAAAGGAACGCGTCACGAGGGAGGGGTTTAGAAGCAAGGTTTATGCAAAGTGACGGATCCAAGGCAGGGGGAGGCGGGTGATGCGGGCAGTTGCCCCCAACCACCCCTCATGAAGTAAAGTCCCTGACAATTGGTAATTTATTGCGATTTATTGAGTTTTTTTTGCCTTAAGTATAATAATATTTATATTTAAGAGTGCCAATCAACAGAGCAAGAAAAAAGCAATGAGTGTGATGGTTTCAAGAAAAATGTCTGGCCCTGCCCCCCTTCACCACCCCTCCGTGCCCCCGCCCACCCCATGCTCCCCCCGCCGCCCCCTCATCACCATCATCATTGCTGCTGCTGCTGCCTCCTTGCGCTCTGCACAGATCCGTCGTGGCTCTCCACCAACTTGGGCATCCTGACGTGCATCGAGTGCTCGGGGATCCACCGCGAGATGGGCGTCCACGTCTCGCGCATCCAGTCGCTCACGCTCGACGTCCTCGGAACCTCCGAGCTGCTGGTTGGTCTCGCGGCATCTGGCACGCGGCGGTGTCTGTCTCACGGGGTCCATATGTGTGTCTCGCGGAATGATTCGCCACGAGAGGTTTCGGAGAGCTGAGTGGACTTGGAGATGACCGGTACGAGCGGTGTCAAAGATCAGCCTCTGTGGAGGAGAATGCTCTTGAAGGACGCTTCTGGGTTGGAGGTAGTCGCCCTCCAGCAACAGCGGGAGGCGGAGGAGCGACGCTCATAACAACGAGCGGAGTGCCGGGCCGCTATAGCACAGCGAGTTGGCACAATAGAGGGCACAGGAGGCGGATCTGCCAGTCAACCCATGGCACCTAGGTTTGTCCCGTGACCTCCTACAAGCAGGTGTTCGACACTTCACGTTGCCTTAAAGTGCACATAGCCTGGCACGTGAAGTGGCGAAGGCTCGCTGACAGGAGTTCAGCTGCACTGCGGCTGGGTTGACTGAGATGACTGGCAGATGCACCAGCTGTGCTTGTCTCCCCACGGCCATGCTCTACACGTCTTCATTACCTTGGGTCTTTCTCGTTACACAGCAGCCCTGTGCCTGCCTCTTCTCTTCTGTGATTGTGGACAGTGGCTTAGCTGTCGAGCTGTAAAGGCAGTGCAGCTGCACCGGGGCTTATGGACCGGAGTGGCCCAGGCACCACGCTATGGGGGGGGGGGGGGGTACCACATTCCATTCCTTGCTCCAGGGCCCATGCCGACCAGGCTATGCCACTGATCGTGGGTGTGTCTGTGGTGTGGCCCCATCAGGGGTTTACTTCGTGCCCACTCTCACCCTGTGCGTCATTTCTAACGGACCGCGCGTCCTTCCCTTTTAGTCCGCTCGGTGGTACAGCCCGATATTTCTTGCTAATTGAACTCCTGCCCTTACATCAAGGGGTGTGTGAAATTGATTTGGCAACGCAGGTCCTAATCTATTACTCGTGAGTGATGTGCCTTGCCCCCCCGTCTTTCATTGCCTCGGTCTCGTTCACAATTACGTTACGTCAAACTGGTGAAGCTATGGTTGTTATATTTTTTCATTAGGGCATCATCTCGGCTATCTATAAAACATTTTAAGTGATGAGCAGTGATTTGCAGATTATTCCACAGGCACGAGCCTCAGACGTCAATTCGATCTCTCGCGGTAACTTCGCTGCTGAGGCCGTTGTTTCACCTTCGCGGGGTGTTTTAGCGTCGCGGTCGGTCCTCGCCCGGCTCTGTGCGAATCCAGGTAACTCCAAGGGCACACAGGGAAGGCATTTGCTTTTCCTCCCAGGCAGACGAGTCCGCAGACCAGGCAGTTCCACCACCCCCGCACCTCTCCCACCACCAGCCCCATAGCAGGGGTGAGATTTACGTTTTGACCGAGAGGAGTGACCTTTATAGGTCCCGAGCTACAGCTCCCTGGCAATGCACACTGTCGTTTATGTTACTTACATCATCTGACATGTAAGGCTAATCAATCATTCAGCTTGCCACCTGCCGGCTTTGCGGCCCAGCACAGCATTGCATTGAGTTGAGTGCCTTCCGTGTAGGGTCGAAAGCGTTAATGCATTAGCTCTGTCCGTCTCTCCGTCTGTCCGTCGGTCCATAGTGGGTCGATGTGGGGGGTTACGATAACTCCGGTAAAGATGATCCAATGTAAATTCAACTTTAGTATGAAGTCTCATCGCTGTTAGGGACTCATCCTCTTCATAATCGCCCAAATTTATTAAAGGAGTCTTCAAAAACTTGGGCAACGCAAAACCGGAGCGAAAAGGACTCAGAACGTGTTTTGGCCTGACAGCTACCCTTGAGCGTCCGTACTTTCATCGAAGCACTGCCTTCCAATACAACACACACACGGTTGGAACACTTGACATGATCCATGCACGTGCATGATTTTTCGCAACTCGTTTTTAACCGACGTCCCTGGTTGGCAGATCGCGCGCAACGTGGGGAACTCGGGGTTCAACGATGTGATGGAGGCTCAGCTGCCGGACGCGTCCAGCTCCAAGCCGACCCCGAACAGCGACATGTGAGGACGGTCGCTCCTCCCTGCCCGCGTCTCACCGCTCGCACGCACTGCCCCGCGCGTTTCCGGGTTTGCGCCGTGCGTTGTCCGAGGCTTCGCCGCGCGCGACGATGGGAGAGCTTCGCCAACTTTCGTAACGAGCGGCCATGTCTCGTTTGCACCCGCGCCCCCCCCCCCCTTCCGCCCCCCGCCTTCCCCCCGCCCCCCCCGGCCCGTACGCTCGCGCTTTCCCAGGGTGGCGCGCAAGGAGTACATCTTGGCCAAGTACGTGGAGCGGCGGTTCGCCCGCAAGTCAGGCAGCACGTCGGCCGCCAAGCTCAACAACCTGTACAACGCGGTGACGTCGCGCGACGTGCTGGCGCTCGTCGCCGTGCACGCCGAGGGGGTGGACCTCACCGAGGCACTGCCACCGTACCCGGGCCAGGTGTGGCGAGGCGGGCGGGCGGGCGGTTGGGCGGTTGGGCGGTTGGGCGGGCGGGCGGGCGGGCGGGCGGGCGGGCAGGCGAGTGGGCGAGCGTGTGCCCGCCGCTCCTTACCGCGATAGTGTAATGCGCATTCACTGCACAAACCATGACAGATGCGGATACCGGGTGTGCAAATGGAAAGTTAAAAACTCTCCAGTAGTGTGCCGCGACTGTGGTCATCCAGAACAGAGCGTACAATGAAGCAATGCCCCGATCCACAAATACGAACAAGACATTACAGCGATACTCTCCGCTACTGCTCCTGACGCGGTTATATGGCTTGACTACCTGAATGTGAATTTGTAGTCGTTGCTCTGCATCTACATCAGCCGTGTGAAAGAAGAATAAGTGTAATGCTATGGTACAATACAACATGTTGCATCTGTGTAGCGTCTCAAGACGCTGTGCAGACACGGTGACCCGTAGACTCGCAGTACAGTTACGCGATATGTATTTGTATTTCGCATCTAAATGTGACCACATCCGAAGGCAGTGTATAGGAACAAGGAGCCATAGATCCATAGACCTCTTATGCAGAGATCCTGAGAGCCACATGAAGGACCCACAGACGGACACGGAGATCCGTATACTTATACGGAGATGCATAGATGAACAGAGACCCATAGACTCATAGAATAGTACAATACAATGTAGATTAATACACCGCAGCTCAATGCGACCACATCCCAAGAGGCTGTTTAAAAACAACGACCTCTAGACTTAGACGGATATGTATAGGTTTACAAGGAGACCTATAGAATGGCATATAGCATACAATACAGAAGCAGTCGGCACATGGTAGAGCATTGATGGCTGAGGTATGTAAATACGTATGTTGAACTTCTTTTGCACCGTACGTAGTCAAACGTTCTAATCGGAGGTGGTGGTGGTGGGGGTGGGGGGGAGGTGTAGAGCACAGGGCCAGCAGAAGAGGACGAGCGGTGGCCCCGCACCGCGCACACGGCAGGCTCTACGGCGATGGCCACGGCCGTTCCTGAGCGACGTTGCTGGGGACCACATCGCGATGACCTTGCAACCCCACGCAGCAAACTGTTACCCGCCGCGCAACGTCGCCCGCCGCCGCTGCCCGTGGGATACGCGATAGGGCTCGTGATAAGATTTTACCGGCGGTTCGCTGCTCCGTGTTTGTGCGCAGGAGGTTGGGGAGACGGCGCTGCACTTGGCCGTCAGGAAGATGGATCGCTGCTCCCTGCACATCGTGGACTTTCTCATTCAGAACAGGTGCCTGGGGTCAGGGGTCACCACGATAGGTCTCTGCTTCAAGGGATGATGATGATGATGCCGGTGTAGATGTGCTGGGTAGTGGATAATTCGAGAGATATGTAGCACGTGAATGGAACAAAAGCTGAAAGAGGAACACGTGGACATGAGAACATACACAAGTTAGATTCATTATATTGTCTATTGAGAAAAGAGAGTGGGTTTTGGCAGAACACTTCGCTGGATGGGAGGATGGCAAGTGGTCGAGACTAATAATGGATCACAACAGAGGACAATGTGCAGGAGCTGGATAGATTGTTGATTTTGCAAGACTGCTAGAGTTGGCGACGGCTTGGGGAACATCTTCATCCGGCAGCGGATGGAGCACTGCTTCAATGTTGTTTTCCTCAAATGTATTCTCGACCCGGTGTCTGCAATGCTATGATTTATTCGCTGTTGTAACTTTCTTATATTTCCAAGGTCCTCCGCGTGTCATTCTTGTAAATCCGCTTACAGCTGCATGTTTCTCATCAGCGTCGACAAATACAATCGGACGGCCGCTAACGATGGCCCACGAACGAATAGTTTAATTAATCGCCCTTATTGCTCTTGTTGTAATTAACCCTTTCCCGTTCTGAGACGTCTGCAAAGTTGCAGGGGATGGGGTTCCGTTCACCGCCGAAGCGCAAGCGCTACAGCGTCAATTTTATTCAGGGAGGCGTAGCACCGTTTTTAAAAATACATTGTACTCACCGCAGATAACTGTAGCGACACGACCGCAATCTACGATAGCAGGCGCCAAACTGTGCCACACGGCCCTCCCGCATGGCCTTGTGGGAGCCTCAGTACCGGTAAAGTTATTTTAGTTTATATTCGTACGTGTACACGTACGTCATTGGAACGGGAAAGGGTCGGTAGGATGTCGCGAGATCAGACCGACTCGCGCGCACGGTTGCTGACCCGCGTTGCGCCGCGACTCCTCCCCGGGGTTAACAACGGGCGCCCTCGCCTTCTCCTCCTCGTTCGCAGCGGGAACCTGAACAAGCAGACGGTGAAGGGGAACACGGCGCTGCACTACTGCTGCGTGTACAACCACACTGAGTGCCTCAAGCTCCTGCTCCGCAGCAAGGCGGCCACGGATATCGGTGAGGGTTGCCGGCGTCGTACGGAGAGCAGGGGGTCGTCGTTCCGACTGGGAGGTCGACGAACAGTGTTCGCTATCCGAATAAAAATGATCAGTGGCACGATCATAAAATGAACCTGTAAATAAAAATTAATAATATGGCCATATTTGAGGGCGGTGATGAACGTCGTTGAGTTTGTTTTGTTCACTGTGCTTGTGCACCACTGCCAACGCAGCAGCAGCGTCGCCAAATAATTTGATTATAAAATGACACAGGGAGGGCTGCCTGAAGGTTGCCAGCATCCATCCCCAGGGGAGGTGCGGGGGGGGGCGAGTGGGGAGCGGTGCTGTAGTGGTCCGTGCATCGCAACGTGAACCAGCTCACCGCAGTTCTATTGCCGACCATGGCAACAAACACGAGCGGTGATTATCTGGTCGTCAACCAGGCCTTAAATGAGAACCTGGTGTGTTGTGTAAACATCAGCACCGGGGAGACCAAGGCAAGGCACCGGCCACACCATTCCCTCGGGTGCCGTGCTGGCCTCTTAATAGGCACTTGCTAACTGCACCCGTCTCAACAGGTTGCATGGCTACAAGGCGGATCTTTTTCTTTGTACTTTGGCGGCACACAGAGGGGAGTAGGTACAGTGGGGGGCACAGGTAATGCATCTGCCAGTTATTTCAGTTAGTTAACCTATAACACCTGGATCTGGCCCGTGACCTCTTGCCAAACGGCACCTAGCCTGGCACAAGCGCTGCGGTGATATCACCGTCACTTACTGGCGATCAGGCAGCTTGTTGTTGTTGGCTGTGGGTGTTCATGCGTGGCTACAGGAAACCTTTTTGTTTAAACACAACTACCTTCTACATCGCACGGCTGTTGAGAAACACGCCGTGACAAAGGTTGTGTTAGCCTAAGCAAGCTGCCGCGTGTTGTTTTGTGCCAATGCGTGGGTGTGTCTGTGTGTTTGCGTGCAGCAAACGAGAGTGGGGAAACCGCGATGGATATCGCCAAGAGGACCAGACAGTCGCAGTGCGAGGAGCTGGTACGATGGTTTTCTCCCCTTCACGGCACGCTTGCTAACCAGCAGAGGAACATGTGACTAGAATCCACAGCCAGTGGATGTGGCGCGCCCGGGTGTGGAAATATTTTCCGGTTCGTTCAACCGGAAAAAACCCAACTGCAAATTTATCCGTAAAATGGGACAAACGTACGCATATATAAATGAGAATTACATAAAAACGATATCGCAGTGGCCAGCAGTCAAGATCGTTGTCATGTCCTCACTTATCGCACACCTTCCGTTCACAGATTTAAGTTCACGCATAGGATCATTGTGCAACTAAACCAATTGCGGGTACACATCGCAATCATCGCCCCCCTACTTCCAGACTAATGCCCACTTGCAGGCGAGGTGCCGGGTCACCTCGTGCTGAGATGAGAGATGCAAGCTCGCTTCATCTCGTGTAAATCGCTCCTGAGTTGCCCCGGTGTAAAGCAGGCAAATCGTCGAGATTATTATTATAATTATTATTTCCAGCATTTCCCAAAAGTGGAGCTTTGCCTCCAGTTTTGAAATGCATGTGGTATTGACATTGAACTTCGTGTGATCCAGAACCTTTGAAATCGGTCAATGCTAAAAAAACACGTGGCAAGACATTTTTTTTTGCCGCGCTTCAAGCGACCGGTGCGCCACTCAGTGGACAAAGCACGGCGCTGCCGCCTGACGCACGCTGCCCCGCACGGTGCCCCAGGGCGGTGGAGGCTCGCGGTATACAGTAAAACCTTGGATTGCGAGTAACTTGGTCTGCGAGTGTTTTGCAAGACGAGCAAAATTTTTTAAAAATAAATATTAATTTGAAAAACGAGCGAGGTCTTGCGATCACGTGACGTACGTATGCACGCTTTGTCTGCCGAGCATCACGTGATCACGACTGATATACGAGTGCTTTGATATACGAGTGCTTTGGATTACAAACACATTTCCGGAACGAATTATGCTCGCAATCCAAGGTTTTGCTAAAAAAAATAAATCACTCTCTCCGTAGAATGGTTTTGCGACCGCGTTGTATAAAAAAGCATTACCCCGTACCGTCACGTCACGGAGTGGCACGTGAACTAGTGTTGGGAAATCCTGCCAGTGCCTGTTGCACGTATATTTGTTGTGAGCGACGTCCGTCTCTGGTGCTGCTGCTGCTGCCGCCGATCGCTCCACAGCTGACGCAGGCTCTCATGGGGAAGTTTAATCCGCACATCCACGTGGAGTACGAGTGGCGTCTGGGCGAGAACTTTTTGGACGAGAGCGATGACGAGCTGGATGACAAGGTGATCCCGCGCTTTCCCGCACCGTCCCGCACTGCTGCTGCGAGGTTAACCCACCGCTGCCAACAAACGTTTGTGGGCGCCATGGTGGCAAGATATTAACTACCTCGCCTGGTCAACAGGAGGTCGTAGATTCGATGCCGACCCTGATGTTGCCTGTAAATTTGCATGGATTTTTCTCCGGGTCCTCCCGGTTTTGCCTCCACATTTAGAAACATGCGTTTAGAGTATTTTGCCGCTGTAAATTTCCAAGCGATAAGCCACTTCGTTGAGCTACCATTTGTGATAGCCAGGTCACTTATGAAAAAGAGCTATGTAGCTCGGTAGGCCTTACCTGGTAAAATAAACATTGTTGAGCGTTAAATAAAATAGAGTGGCGTTCGAGTGACGATGGTGGTTGATGCTCCTCGACGAGACCCTCCGCCTTGGCCGCGTCTCCTCTCACAGCCCAGCCCGGCGAAACGCGAGGGCTCGGTGCGCCCCGTCACCGTGTACGGGAGCAGCTCCACCACGCAGGGCGGGGTGCCGCCAGCGCCGGGCGCCGTGCAGCTCCCTATGCCGGGCCCGGGCCCCACTCGCCTGCGCCCCAGCAGCTCCACGTTTGACAAGCGCAGCACGGGGGGCGGCGGGGGCGGGCCGGGGGGAGCCGGGGCAGCGTTCCAGGTGGACAACGAGACGTACGGGACCGTGGTGGACGGGGGCAGCGCGCCGACGTCGCCGCCGGGCGGAGTGCTGGGAGCGCCGCCGCTCCCTCCCCGGAACAAGGGTGAGCCGATCCCGTGCCACGCCGGGCTCTGCCGAGCCAGTCCGGTGCAGCTCGGGAGGTGTGACGGCAGAAGCCGAACCGTGCCCGTTGACCTTGCGCGTAATTAAACGAGTTGTAAGTACGTACATATACGTTGAATTGCTTTCGCACCGTACGTAGCCGACCACACTGATCGGAGGCGTGGAGGAAGGACAACAAACTAATTGGGTCGGGTCTCCCCGCGGCGTACAGGCCAATGTCACACACGTACATCAGTCGTGCGCGTAGCGTCCCACGGTTTATCCCCTCCCCATTGCCTTTCCCGCCTGTAACCGGTCCACCGCCGGTAACTGGTCCACAGGCACCATTCCGCAGGCGCCGCTGATGCCGCCCGGCCTGCCCGGCTCACTCGACTTGTCCAAGAAGAAACCTCCGCCGCCCCCCCCAGGCGCACCGCTGGGCCCGCCGCCGGCGCCGCCGCAGCCTCCCGGCGGCTTTCCCTCGGGCCACAAGCGTGCCATCTCGGACCCCGTGAGCCCTCTGCCACCGGCACCGCCCGTGCGCGGCACGTCCGTCATAAGTGAGCAGCAGCGGCAACCGCCGCCGCCTTCTCTCTCTCTCTTCACCCGGGGTGCCCTCACCCTTGGTTGCGTGCGCTCGCATTCAAATGTTTGTTTTTCTTCAGCCGCCCTGAGTCGTAGCACAGGGGGAGGGCTGCCTGAAGGTTTCCAGGATCCATTCCCAGGGGGGGGGTGGGTGGGTTCCTGCCACGTTCGTTTTTATTTTATTTTATGAAGGTTTCCAGCCAATTAATAACGAGTTTTTATTATACAAGCGGGAATCCGAGTACCCCGGACAAAACGAATGCCGCGTGCGAGGGGGCAACACTCTATCCCCGTACAGATGGTACTGCCTTCTCCTGGCGGTCCAGGGTGTGGCACCTCAACATTTGTTGCGATCCACCAACCCCCCCCCGCCTCCACCGTGCCAGATTACCGGCGTGCACCACTCCCACCGTCACCACCATCATCACCAGGCTGGCGGTTACGGGTTGCCCCGGATGGGCTGCCGCCCAGCACCAGTTTAACGTTTCACTCGGGTCGAAGATTAACTCCCCTGGGCCGGGGAAACAAACTCGGGCTGCTGGGCTCACAACGCAGAGCGCAAAAACCACTGCACGGCTGTGGGAATTCTCGAGTCGAGATGTATGCACAAGGTCGTGGATTCGATCCCGACCCTGACACCTGTACATTTGGAGTTCTCCCCGTGGCCGCGTGGATTTTTCTCTTGGGCCCTTTCCACAGTTAGAAACATGCATTTAGAGTATTTGGCTACTATAAATCTCCACATGCTTAGCCACTTCGTTGAGCTATCATTTGTGGCCAGGTCGCTTCTGATAAAGAGCTACATAGCTGAGAGGGGCCTTACTTGGTAAAATAAAAATGGTGTCGATTTCGTTTATTGATTTTTTTTCTTTTCATCTTTCTAACGTCTCCGTCAGGGCACGATCTCTCCCAGCAGCCACCTCCCCCCGTGGCCAAGACTCCCGGCGTCATCGAGGCCATGGTCCAGCAGGGCAGGTGAGGACTGGGAACGGGCGGATGCCGAGGCTGTTGAGATTTAAAAAATTCGCTGTTTTGACTTCGGCCGAGCGGAGCGCTACCGGAAACCGGCCGTGCGAAGAGCCTCGCGCTGACAATATGCCCCATCGGATCGTGAGTGGAACAAACGAACTTTGAGGGTTCATGAGAAGAAAACTCTCCGATGCGTTTTCGGGGGTCGCACGACCGCGCGTCGTTCGGCTTTGAAGTCCGACGTTTCGCTCCACGTGCTGGGAGCTTTTTCGGGAACGTCGGCCTATAGAGCGAAACGTCGGACATTGTGCCGAATGACATGCGGTAAAAGCCACAAAAACACTTTGGAGAGATCTTTTTCCATGAATTGTAAATGCTTGCTTATTTTCAGGCGTAATTCGATGTGATGATACACGCACGAAAAACTTATGCACAGGTAATAATGCACACTATATGCAGGCGATGCGCCATTAAAGTTAGGCTCATTGAAGTGAACATAACTGTACATACAGAAAAACACGAGTGTGCAAACGTGACTAATAAAAAAACACGTAAGCAGACGACAACCAAGAGATGCTGCGTCGCCTCGCCAGGGCTGTGGGCTGAGTCACTCGGTCGTCACCCACCAGTGTGAAGGTCAACCTTATTGATTGTGTTACCCGAGTTTATAACTTTATTCTGTGCGCGCGTTTTCTGCCGCTTCAGCACGGAGAACGCCGCGACCAAGGCAAGTCGGGGTCTGCAGGGGCTGCCCAGCAAACCGCTCGGTTTGTCTTCCGCAAGTCGACACGCGCCCTACCGAGCGAAACGCGCGCGCGTGCGCACATGGCCATGTGATGTTTGTCTTGTTTAGCCGGGCCGAGGAACTCGAGAGGCAGGGGGTTAGCCCCGTTTTCACGAGTGGCCACCGTCTCACAAATGCGAGGTGGCGGCCCCGGTGGGTTTGAGTTGAAGATATCCGCTGCACCCATATTCTTGTTCAGTCGTGGGGGGACAACTTGAGCGACGAGCCACTGGGGGCCCTAAGCTTTCGCTAATCTGGCTCGTGCTTAGCGTCACCACTCAACTCCGGTGTCGTCAACCTAGGGCAGACATCATATGGGTAAAACATAAAACAGTAAGTGTATGCAGCCAGATGCGATGCCTAGGATCATAAGTTATTGCACACAGCAGGAGACAAGTTATTAATGATTACACACGAAACCACTCTGGCTTAAACTCCCCGCGAGAGTCCCGAGTGACTTCTTAGTCTCGTGGCGTCACGTCGACAGCAACATTTAGAAAAAAAAACCTGGGAAGCTTACAACAACAAATTTAAACAAAATTTTCAATAATGAACGTGGCGAGCGAAACACCACACGGAAGGAGGGCCTGCTAACGGTTGTGGTGTGCGGTTGTCACTTGTGGTTGTTGTGCGGCAGCGTACGTGAAGTTACACAAGGAGAGCCCTCCACCACCTGACGCTTCCAACTCATTCTCTGACGTGCCGCTCCCGGCTCCGCGCAAACACATCCCGGTGAGTCGCGTAAACACATGATGGTGAGTCACATAAACAAATCCCGGTGAGTCACATAAACACATCCTGGTGCGGTGCGTAAACACATCCTGCTGCGGTGCGTAAACACATCCTGGTGAGGTGCGTAAACACATCCTGGTGCGGTGCGTAAACACATCCTGGTGAGGTGCGTAAACACATCCTGGTGCGGTGCGTAAACACATCCTGGTGAGGTGCGTAAACACATCCTGGTGCGGTGCGTAAACACATCCTGGTGAGGTGCGTAAACAAATCCCGGTGAGTCACGTAAACACATGATGGTGAGTCACGTAAACACATCTTGGTGAGGTGCATAAACGCATCCCGGCGAGTCGCCCGAGTGGTCGTGGCGGTTCCGTGCCCCCGGGTTGAGGAGGCAGTGGAGTCTGCCCCAAGTTTTCCAGTCTCCGTCTTCTTCTTTTGTACGGCGGCTCACGTGGATGCCAGAGCAACGACTACAATTTCACATTCAGGTGGTCAATCCAGACAACCGCGTCAGGAGCAGCAGCAGGAGCAGCAGCGACGTGTATTGCCGTGTTTGTGGTGACCGGACATTACGTCGTTATATAAGTGGCACGGTTTGTTCTGGATCACCACAGTCGAGCACTGGAGAGTTTTTTAATTTTCCATTTGCGCATCAGGTGGCCGCATCTGCCGTGGTGTTAGTGCAGTGGATGCGGTTTAGGTTTTCCAGCTTGACAGATGGATTTATTGGGGAACTGGAATGTGCCCTGGCAGTGGCTTCATCGTCAGCAGACGGACGCATCCAGCCACCTCGCGGCTTCCCAAGAGAGCCGGCCTCGTGGAGTCCACCACTGGGGGCTTCATTCTATCTGTGCTATGAACCCAGCAGCAACCTGAGCCTGATACCCTTCGTCCACTCAGCCGCAAATGAGTACCTGGTGCAGTGTGTAAACTTCGTCGCTGGAGAGACGAAGGCAGCCTCGCGTGGTGCTCGTGTGTGCCGGGCCGGCCTTCATAGCACTTGCACCAAAAGTCTGTTAAGGCTACGAGGGGGGGGGGGGGGTCTCTTGTTTGCATTGGGATAGGCAGGCAGTGTCGTGGTTAGCATTTTGACAAGTTATTAATGAGCTGCTCCTAGGTCTCCCCTTGGGCCAACTCAACCTTAAAGGGAATACCTGGGAGACGTAGGCGGGCCAGGAGCCAGACATGAAGGCTGTGCCGGCCTTCATAGGTGTCTTCTAACAGCACTTGCCCCGACAGTCTGCTAAGGCTATACACGGGGGGGATCTTTGCCTGTGCGCACGCGTGAGCGCAGCCAAAGCCGCGTGTGCGACGCGTCAAGGCCGTCTACGACTGCATCGCCGACCACGGGGACGAGCTGAGCTTCCACGAGGGTGAGGTCATCGTGGTGACGGGCGAGGAGGACCAGGAGTGGTGGGTGAGTGTCTCGCCTCCCCCCACCCCCCGCCCCGTCACTGCTAGCCTACCGGGGGTGGTGCCGTATCGTGATAGGTTTCATCGCAAAGTAGTAAAATTTATTGTTTGAACGAGCGCTCGCCGATTCACTCCAGCAAATCGTTCACCGGCTGTCGGTCGCCTCCCTGTCACTCTTCTATTGCCACTACCGTGGTTCCTGTTCTCATGAACTTCACTCATCGAGCCCTCCGCCCATGTTAAGGAATCAGTCTCATCCTGCACTGCGTGTCCGCCACCACGCCGCAGGTCAAAACGACTTCCCTTTCTGCTTCAGTGGAATTCCAACTTTTCTCGTCCTCAGTTCTTACAACCTTGCTCAATTCGAGTAACGCATTAATGCCTATCACACCTTCAACAGTGCTGACTTAAAGCTTTCGTGACTGCAGGAGTTCATATTCTTGGGTCTTTCCGTAAAGTCACTTAGATAGGTTCCAAGAACTACAACGTCCCGTAAACACATCAGCAGCCATTAACATGCTCAATTATGTTTAACATGCTAATCTACCATTAACATGCTAATTTCTCTTTAACATGCTAATTTTCACCTGGCAGCCCTTTGATTGGTGGAAAACCCAACCACCGTCGTGTTGGCTGCCCACCACTTAGATTATCATTGGCTGCTGACATTTGGGCTACGCCCATTTCAAACCTTGATAAACAGTTTGCCTTGGAAGCTAAACCCCCCTTTTCCTGAAGACGACTGCTTGTGTTGCGATCGAAACGTCGTAGATTTTTTGTTATTTTCTTTGAACCTATCTGCTTGACTTTACCGAAAGACCCAAGAATATATTTCAACAGCGCTGTTTGTCCCTTTGAAAGTGTGGGCCTTTGACCCTATGCCACCCTAATGTGATTTTAAAAAAAACAACATATTTCTAGGTTTCGTGGTGGGAAGTTCGCGCTGCCTGTGAGACGCGACGAAGCTAATGGTTGACGGCCAGAATTTACGAGGCGTACGGAGCGGCCGGACACCTCGTTACCCGCCCTCGACACTGTGCTGTGCGTTGCTCTGCCGCAGAAGGGACACGTGGAGGGACACCCGGAGAGGCAGGGCGTGTTTCCCGTCTCCTTCGTGCACGTTCTAGTCGAGTGAGGTGGCGTCGCCTCGCAGCAGCGGGGAGAGCAGAGGCTCGCCAGGGGGAACGCGTTCCTCCGTGGGTGCCGTGGCAAAGCCTCGCGCTCTGCACGGCCGCAAAATGATGTACAAATCTGCACTGGACGATGGGACACCACAGGGATCGGTGGGGGGGTTTTTGCTTCCGTGGTGCAAGACGATTGAACTCCATACGGCTGCCTCATTCTTCGTGCAAGACGTGTCGACAAACGAAGAGTCGCGCAGCGTGAATGCCCAAATTAGCGGCATTTACATGAAGAAACACTCCCGTTGCAAATATTGTTATCATGGGGAAAAAAAGAGAGACCCTTGGGATTGGAATAAACTCGGTATATGTAATATGTAATGCAATTATTGTAAGTAATAGAGATATCTCCGAATCGGTTTGGAGAAACGTTTTGTTTATATTCGTTCCTTTATTGTATGCCGTTGGGAGTTCCACGGACGTAACACTGTAGAACATTTACACGCGCGGCGTAACTCTCTTAAGCGGCCGTTGGAAGCGCGCTGGCACCAGCGGCCGGCGACCAAACGGTGAGCAGCCCTCGCGACTGTTCTCGTCAGAAGGCTTTGCAGGGAATTGTGTGTAGGTCCCACTCGCGACACGCACGCACGCCGGTGTGCGCGTGTTACGGCGACCGTGCGTCAAGAGGATCCGGAACCTCGGCGCGGGGTGTGGGGGGGGGGAAGCAGAAGCTCCGAGCAAGTGATGCGGCAGATCCATCGTGGCGGGTGAGTCGAGCGTAGTGAACGGCCACTCGCGCGGGGAACGGAGCCTTAAGGGGGGGGGGGGGGGCGGGCGTGTTAGTTTATATCTACTGTAAATTGCCACAAGTATTTAACGCTTGCACTACTACTGCATGTTTCTTAAACAAAAAAAACAATTACAACAATAAGAATGACAACGTTGGAACAAGTTGCCTTATAAACACACCCATTGAGAAGACTTGCAGCAGTTGCTGAAAATATTACCAAAAGTGGGGATTTTTTTGCTTTTTGTTTCAAGGGAAATAATGATGTTACAGTATATTTTAATTCTATTGGTAAGCCACTCTACCCACGTACTCTATAATACACCGTGGGAAGACGTGGCCATTTCTGTGAGATCGGTGGCTTGAAATTTGGCTCCAGGAGACTTGATTTTATGATTTAAGCAATGACACGGAGTCCAGTGATGGAACTTTATATTGGTGATGCCACAAGTGACAATGATGAACGTGGTCTCTTCCCCTCACCCCCACCCTCAAGTGGCATTCCGATTATGTAATCGGCATCATGTCATGAGACAAAGTTTCCGTTCTGATCTATCGCAGAGCAGTGCAATCCTTCGTGGAAGTGGATATTACAGAGCTACCTCTGAGATCCCTTCATCATGTGACCTCTGGTCCACACGGAGTGACAGTACTGCGTGTCACATTTAAACCAATATTTTACATCTCAGAGTTGGAATTTAGCCAAGTTTAGTGCATAAAAATTGTTTATGCGATTGTCTTTTTTGAGCGGTCGTTGGTGACCCGGCTGAAACCGTCAACTCGGTAAACTTGAAAATCCAGTTTAATGAACCCAGGAGCTCAGCACTCTGACCTCTGAGCCACCTGCAGGCCACCTGGAAACCTGATTTCTAAACATCCTGAGTTTTAAGCCAGAGTGGCTTCATGTGTCATTAGTTACTTGTTGTCTACTGCTACGTGCAATGACAATGATCCTGGCAACATACCTGGCTGTAAACACTGTTATATTTGTTGAACCTGCATGGTATTCACGATTAGCTTATACGCCGAGTGACGTCTGCCCGAGGTTGACTACACTGGAGTTCCGTGGTGACGCTAGTCATGAGCAAAATAATAAAAGAAAGCCTAGGGGCCTCAATTTGATAAAGCGGTCCCCCATATAACTGGAAGAATAGGGGTGCAGAAAATACTAGCCTGAACACAGGTCCTTATAAAATGTGTAATTATATTAACATAATTGGAATGGTAATTCGCTAAATTATTTCACACAACTGGGCATGTATAAGGATGTAGCCCGTTCATCGTGTAATGGTTGTGGTCAGGTGACGCTCCCAATGTAATTAATGCTTAGGGGGGCCCTATTGGGCTAGCACCAACCGCGCAGAGCTGGTTGAAAACCCTCGCTTGACATTTGTTCACGAGATGATTTGTCCAAAGCTGTGTGGACTTCAGTGAGACCCCTGAACGCTGGATCAAGACGTTTGAATACTAGGAACCAAGTGCTTTGCTGGCCATCACGATTCCAACAGCGTTGTCCAACACAGCCCCAGAGTACTAGCCATGGTGGACCAAGCATTGACCAACAGCACTGACCAATTTTACTCCATTGAGGGCCAAAGATAACTTTTATTTTTTAACCACATTAATCCTGCATGTACATTTTACTAATTATTGTATATTTAAAGAACATGTAGAAAAATAACAGTTTGTGAAAAAAATGTGTGTTCACTTCTAAAAGTGAGGAAATGGATGGGGGTTGGCCAGACATTTTTTGGCAAATAGATATCACCTGCCACTTTTGACCATAGGCTTAAGTAAAATAAACATTACAGTAGGGATGTTTATCATTTAACATAAACAAGGTTAATTCGCACGATTGAATGAATGCCAGATGCGTTGCTCTTCTTTTCGAACCGTACACATCAGATTAGTGCAATTTTGGGTGTCATTCAGGGGCCTGCCATTAATCTGATATCCAACGGTGCTTTTTTTACTCGATTCGAAACCCTCGCTGGGATCTGCATTTCATCATGTATTGCATCATCTTCATAATAAAGGTTTTTAGGTTAGATCGCTTAAGTATGTGTAGAAATCCACCACCCGACACAGCCAGTAAGGTTTGTCACGTAAACAAGGCGCCAGTTAGTTACTACTTCAGCCCACCGGTGTGTTGGAGAGTAATTCCACCAACATTTACAATTTTAATACGAAGTTTCGTTGGCAATTAAATCCAGCATCATCGGGCGATTTGCCAGCCCGATGATGCTGAAGGTTTGTTTACATGCCAAACCTTCCTGGCTGTGTCGGGTGGTGGAGGGTTACAACACATACTTACGCGATCTAACCCAAAAACCTTTATTATGAATATTGGTCGCGAAAGCCGACGTGTTAAATTGAATATTCTTGATTGCAAAGGACAGTTACGTTTCATCTTGTTTGTTATTAAGTCGAAAACAACATTTTCTGCCACGTTCAAAAAATATAAAAGGTTTAACTATTAGTAATAAATAAACGAAATCACGTGACGTGTTTTTCATGTAAGAACAAAAAAGTACCACTGGGACATTTTCCCTGGTGGATTCGGATAGTTATGTTGAGGGAGGGGGGAAACACAAATTGGCTTAAACAAAAAATGTAAGATAGCGTGCGCCAATCTTGACAGGTCTGTTATGGGAAACGAAATGCGTTATTATATGTTATAAACTAAACGTGTTGCTCTGTTGTGTTTTAAAGCCATTTGCTCAAGCGTGGAGCCTGCTGAAACTCAAGTATTTTCGCTTTAAAAATGGGGAAAATTATGATAAAAAATGTTTTTTTCCATAATCAGCATATAAGTAATGTCCATAAGCATAAAGAAAGCACCCATTAACACCCAGTTGGCAATATAATTGTATTTTTTTATCGGTGAGATGATGCATAGTTTTTGTTTGTTTTTATGGTGGACAGTTACACAGTATAATCTGGGAAATGTAATCCAAGCGTTTGGAAGTTCAAGAAAAGCGTTCGGCTCGGTGTTTGGTGTGCGTTGCGGAGGGCCTGGCTTGCTCGATATTACAAACAAGGGATCATGCCTTGCGTGCATAATTGCAAAGTAATGAGTGGATTTGACGTTTATACTATTAAATGCCTATTGGAATGTGTGGTTGTGTAATGTACCATATGTTTTAGTTTCGTCTTGTAAATGACTAAAAATTGCACTGGTTGCAAACTGGGGTATTTTTCTGGGACCTGAGCGATTTAGTTCGTTTTCTTCTTCCGTTGGGTACATTACGATGACATTCTTAGACGTGCTTTTTTCTTTTACATTTTTGTAACGTAATAACCACTGTTGTACATGTTTTATTTGGGGGGAAAACTGCCTTCTGCATGTTACTGATTAATTTAAAATTCTGTGGCTCAGAAATAAAATGTGATTTAACAAGTGTGTTGTATGTAAGACCCCCCCCCCCCCCGCCTGCCTCCACCTCCATCCTCTTCTCCCCACAATTCAATTACTTGACTGTTTCCAAGGTCACAGATGGATTCGCTTTTGCACGTACACTGTATTGGTAAATGCAGCGGCCACTAGTGGTGTCTACGGTCAGACGAACACATTCTATACGTTGCTTCATTGAAGAATCGATGCGTAAATACTGGGGAGGACATTGACCATGAAACACGTGGTGTCTGCATCACAGTGAGAGTTAAAGATCCCGTGACATTCGAAAAATTGTAGGCCCTGTGTGCAGACGTCAAGGTCCAAATCTGATCAGTTAAATGCAAATTACAACACAAACTTAACTGGGGGGGGGGGGGGGGGACGACCCCACGTCAACATCGTCCCCTACTGCTAGGCAAATGCGCATTTGCAGGCCAGTGCTGGGTAAACATCGTGCCGCGTAGAGACAGCTGCTCTTGGGGCGGAGATCCCCCTTTGTTTTGAGGGGCGCCACGGTGGCTCGGAGATGTTAACTACCTCGCCTCCCCCCCCCCCCTCGGATTAGCCGAGGTGTGCCTAGCTCTGCGATCTTACATTTACTTGCAAATTCCATCTCTAGCTCTGCCCACTTACCCTTGCGTTGTACCCACCCCACACGTTTATAACCTTTAGTTGTAGTAGCTCTCCCGCTACATTTCTTCCTGCCTCAGCAGTCCGCCTGATGTATTGTTTCACCTGAAGACGATGTCTTGTGTTGCGATCGAAACGTGATCTGTTAAGTTATTTTTCTTCTATCTACGTGACTTTACCGAAAAAAACAAAGTATGAATTCCTGCAGTCACGAAAGCTTCAAATCAAGATTGTTTATAAAGGGTTTGAAATGGGCGTAGCCCAAATGTCAGCAGCCAATGATGTGTTGCGATCGAAACGTCGTAGTTTTTTTGTTATTTTATTTGAACCTAAATACGTGACTTTACCGAAAGACCCAAGAATATGAACTCCTGCAGTCACCAAAGCTTTAAGTCAAGACTAAATAGTTGTTTTTTTTAGTTTAGACTGCACGAGGGCTGTATAATTGAAAGTGACGCAAGGCGCCTTTAGTGCTGAAACACTCAAATGCCCCGTACGTGTACACACATTATTCTCGCGCCTCTGTAATCTATCAAATGAGAAACCCTGTGAAATTCTCCCAAGGTGTGGCACTCCTCCCGAAAGAGAACGCGCCTCGAGTCGTTACATTATTCACCATTGCATTTCTACATTATCATAATTCTAGCATCTATATCCTTGACGGAACACAACCGTAACCAAGTAGGTCATCAATGTTAGCTGCTATCGAACGGTGGCAAGATGACGAAACAGCAACGGATTATTGAATCCATCTTAGGAGTGGTATCGTACTGTCTAGTATTTCACATTCCTTCCACATGCCGAACATTAATGGCATGGTATAAACATTTAAATACAGGACCCACCAGCCATTATAGTCCTGCGACTAAAGGGATTTTTATAAGGTAAATCTACTTAAACACCCACACTGAAACCTTCACATTTGGTTTGACTCGCATGTCACTCGTGAAATCACAATGGGGAATTCTCAATCGAGAACCTTGCTAAGCAATCGTGCATTTAAAAACAAACGAAACAGCAACACTCGCCAAAGTCACTGTTGGGTTCCCCCTGTTCAATGTCCTCAGTGAGCACACAAACGCACGGGGTATAGGGAGGGCAGGGAAGTTCGTCGACGCATTCCATCTCTTGCAAGTGCACAAGGTCCTCCCAACAGGGCGAGGCTACCTTGGTCTGGCTTCAACAGTGGAACCTGTCCATCGACATTCATGAACATGACCGCACCTGTGTCAGTGCTGCAGGGTGGAGGAGGGTGGGGGCGGGTATCTTCCAAACGTCCCGGTTAAGGCCGGGACAGTCCTGGTGGTTTCATGAAGTCAATCGCCTCCCCCCACAATGAAACTTGTAAACAAAAATATGCTGGATAAGGATATTGCCCCCCAGTAAAAAAAAAACATGTTTCCCCTACCCACGCTCAATTACGAAACTGCCAATGAGCGAGGCCACTAGGATAGATGGCCGGGGCCCCGAACGACAGGAAGCGTGGAGACGAGACGCGGGGGTTCTTGTCGATGCATTTTGGCATCTCGCCAGCAATGATTCAAGCAAGCATGAGAACTGCTGAAATCGCGCTCCAGAGTTTGCTTGGGCTGAATCAATGCTGCTGGAAATGATGTACCGTAGTACTCCCAGAGGAAGGCCATTGGGCCGATGAATTGTGCAGGAAATATTTGCCGTTTTTTTTTGTTATACTCCAAAAAAATATATATCTATTCTGTTGCTTGTATTCGTCATGACGCTAGGCGGTGATTTGGCGAGAGCGAGCGGGTCGTCCTCGTGGCCGAGTTGACCGGTCTGAGAGTCGAGGGAGGGGGGCTGCCGACCCTCCAAGCGTGCCGGCTGAGCCACCACGAAGTGTAGCAGCCCTAGGCAAGGGCAGTGTACATTTACATCCTTGGGTGGAGTTTGTTTATCGTGGTGAAGGCATGAGAACTCGGTTTTGTACAATTACAAAGGTTGTTTTAACCACTGCAAAACTGTTTTAGGAGGCCACTGGAGCTGTGCAATTTTAAATCTAGATTGAAAACTCATTTCTTTATAACCGCTGTGTTGTGGATTTAGGAATAGGTTTTACCCTTTTAACTGGCACAAAAACTGACACCTTTATTCAAGGCATCATGTTTGCAATAACCACAACACAAGCAGTCAAAATGCAAACAAAAAAGACAACTCTGATAATAATATGCACTGTCCTTGAATTTGTGTTTAGTTTGTCCTTCCCCCGCACCTCCGATTTGCACGAGTGGCTACGTAAGGTGCGAAAGAAGTTCAACGTACATACACTTCACGCAGTGCTAGTGGACTTTGGGTGGCGAGCTCATGGAGAGAACGTGCAGTGCCACCCCGTTTAACCGCAAGGTCCCAAACTCGTCACGTTGCCACAGCAAACAATTGCAACACGTGACGGTTGCACAGCCCTTGTGTGCCAGGCAAAGTGCAGCTTGAGGCCACGTGAAATGTCAAAGGCTCGCCTGCAGGTCACTGGACAGATCCAGGTGCCATGGGTTGACCGAGATTAACGGCAGTCACCAACTGTGCTTCCCACGTCCATCTCGCCAGGAATGATTCGTGCGTCGCACATTTGCCCACTGCTGTTGTTTGAGTGGCGGCTGCCTCAAACTGCTCAGTAGCGTCCTTCAGGAGCCTCCTCCACAGAGGAAGATCTTGACACCGCTGATATCAGTCTTCGACAAGTCTGTACCGGATCAGTCCATCTCTTTTCCAGTCCGTGCCGCGCCCGTTTAGCCCCCTCTGTTCAACCAGAAGCTGCTTGGGCATGCGATGGCTGGGCACGTGGGCTACATCACCCAGGTCAACGCAGCCCTCGCCTGCCAGAGGATCTCACTGATGATGGTACTGTGTCCAGATCTTTCAAGGATCTGTGAGCTTTTCACACAATGCAGTCTGGTTAAAACCCAGGATGAATCGTAGGCAGGCCAGCCTGAATGTTTCAAACCGGCGGTAGATGTTCCTTTAAAAGGGGTCCACGTCTCGCAAGCAGAGAGAATTGAGGGTATCGCTGTGGTCGAGACGACCGGGAGCTTCGTATGGAGCGATAGGCCAGGTAGTTTCCACACAGTGGCGTTACGCGGCCAATGGTAAGACAACTCCGCTTGACTGATTGGGAGTGAGACGTCTGCTGCCAAACCGGAGCCGGTCACATCCATCCTGCCCAGGTTCGCAAACTTCTCGACGCTCTCCACAGCACCCCCGAGGAAGCCTCTAGATATCGTTTTGCCTAATACTCCACACTGGACAGACGTCTTAGAAGAGGATTGACACTCGATTAACTCCCACCCAAACCACGTGACCGCACAACACCGGATTAAATGCAAGCCAAATACGTGACATCACAGCACCGGATTAACCGCAACGCAAACGCGTGACGTCGCAACATCTAATTAACCGCAACCCAAAAAACACGTCACAACATCGGATTAATTGCGATCTAAACGCGTGACGCCACAACACCTGATGAAACGCAACTCAAACACGTGACGTCGTCAGACCAAATTAACCGCCATCCAAACGCGTGACGTCACAACGCCGGATGAAACAGTCTGCTGCCGTGCCACCGGTGACCTGCAGTCGGAGCAGGTGGTGGTGGTGGTGGCGTGGGCAGAATGAGATGATCCACCACACGAGCAACCCCCACAGCGCAGCGTGGGCGGTGTGCCGGGTTGGCCTCTAAGGCACGGTGCGAAAGAAAGCTCAACATGCGCACACACACACACCGACCCACACATATATATAATTCCGGGTTGCGATGAATTATCCGACAAGCAGCCCGGCTCACCGTGACATATGCGAGCTTTGGCTTTCGCTTACTCTTCTTTGCGAGCCCATCTCGCCCGCGGGGCCTCGCATAACCACGACCACACACCACTCCCACCCCACCCACGTGCCAAGCGCGTCTCATCCCGCCTCTGGGGCTCCCCGCACCACGGCTGCGATGTCCGAGTGGAACGGGCGTCCCCCTAGTGGCCACAAGAGCTGACATCAACACACCCCCCCCGCCATCCCTCCCTTCCTTACCTCCCCCCCAACCACCAAGCAGCCAGCAGCAGCAACGCTTCATCAACAACAACATCACCACCAACAACAACTACCAACCCACCACGGCCACAGCGTGGTAGATCGGTGGTTCTTCAAGAAAGCATCGCCACTGTTGCACGTCGCTTTTCTTCCGCTGGCCGCTTCCTTCCGCCAGTGTCGCGAAGTTGCTCGCCACTGCCGCCCGCGTTGCTTGCGACACGGGCGGCTGCTGCTGCTGCTGCGTGTTGACACGGCGGCGGCACGGGGAGGGCGCGGGAGAGGCGAGGAGGAGGAGGACATGGGCAGGGGAGAGGAGGACGTGGTGCGCATCGCCAAGCGCCTGGAGAAGATGGTGACGAGGAAGAGCACGGTGGGTGACGAGCTGACAGGGTTCGGGTTATGGTCCGGGACAGTGGGCATGTGTGTGTGTTTGTTTGTGTGGGTGTATGTGTGTGCTATCACTTCACGGTGTGGGGTTCGTGGGGGGTTAACCGGGGGTATTTGAAGGGGGTAAACCGGGGTGAAGGAGTGGAGCGAGCAACTTCGCGTCTAGTTCAGGATGCACACGCGCGCGTGACTTGTCGATTGGGGGTAATGGATGTGACAATTTGTGCAGCGAGTCTTTGGGTGCAGCACGTGCGCCCGTGTTTATTGTGCAGCATGGGGCAATTTGTACAACACAGTGGTGCCACGTGCGTTGATTAGTGCAGCCACATGCTTGTGTTCAATGCTGCACGTGTGTTGATTAATGTAGCCACGTGTATTAATCCCGCACTAGTGTGTTGATTAGTGCTGCACGTGCAATTAGTACAGCACTTGATGAATAGTGCAGCATTTTTTATTCGTGCAGCAACGCGTGTGGATTAATTCGGCAAGATGTGATGGACGCCTTTGCTGCACTCGACATGAATTGCTCTGCGAACCGAATTTGTTCATCGCTGCACTGTGTTTCGCGGTCGTGGCTGTTCTTCGTGATGTCCGACGTTGCGCTCCACGTGCCTAGGAGCTTCTTCAGAAACGAGAGATTCCTGGTTTCATTTGAACTGCGGCTTCCGATTTGATCGTATCATCCTTGCCGTGGATGTCCTCGCGGGGGCGTTCCCTTCTTCAGAAACTTCAGTAATGCAGTTCCTGAAAAATGATTCCAGCAAGTGGGAGTGGAACGTCGGACAACACGCCGAACAATACGCAGTACACAACCCGAGAATACACCGTGTGATCTACTTCGGTGATGCAGCTCGTTAACCCAGATTTAGCAGCTCATGCAAAAGGTGTGTTCATAAACAGCAGGAAGTCACAACTCCCATCTCACGATTAATTTCACACATGTAATGTGACGTATGTTGAACTTCGTATGTACGTTGAACTTCTTTCTACACCGTACGTAGCCAAACCGTGCTAATCGGAGGTGCGGGGGAAGGACAACAAACTGAACACAAAAATCCATAAAGAGGTTTTTGCGTTCGATCGCGTCAATATAAATGCGTCGTCAAACCCGCCACCACCCAACACAGCCAATTAGTAGTAAGGATTGTCACCTAAACCGACCGTGACAATTCGTTACTCGTACAGCACACGGGTGTGTTGGAGAGTAAACCCACAACATTTTCAATTCGAGTACGTGACAAACCTCGCTACTAATGGGCTGTGTCGGGTGGTGGCGGCTTTAACGACACATTTATATTTACGCCATCTAACCCTCTATCACGGATAATGTTGGCCGCGAAAGCCTATGTGTTAAACTAAACATAGGAAAAAAGCAGTTCTAAAAAGATATTAGTTTTCAATTTTGAATCACCACATTGCAATGTGAACTGCTCTCAGCTTTGTTCAGACCAGCACAAGAGATGAATGCCTGGCCCAATTGTCTAAGGACTTTAGGTGACCAACTCTGCGGGTGAAACACAGACAACTGCAGACCGGTTTCATCCTCTTTAGAGCTCATCAGTAGTAACATTACAGTCATCGATGTGCGCTGTTGCTTCGGTGCCTCTGAGAGCCACGCGCTACCTGGGGGTCTCTAACCGTCTGCATTGCGGCAGGGTTTTACAAACTCCAGTCCTCGCCACCCACCCACCCGCCCGCCACGCTGCGTTGTTCTGCGTTTACAAATCTATTCCCTATACCAACAACGCCCGCCATGCACCACGGCGCATGTGCCAGGCTAGGTGAACTTTGATGCCACGTGAAGTGTCGAAAGCTCGCTGACAGGTCACGGGACAGACCCAGGGTTGACTGACTGACATAACTGGTAGATGCACCAGCTGTGTGCCGCTTACTCTGCCAACTTGCTGCTGTGTATCCGCTCGTTGTTGCTTGCAAGCGTCGCTCCTCTGCCCTCCGTTGTTATTGGAGGGCGACTGCCTCCAACCGAGCAGTATCGTCCTTCACGAGCCTCCTCCGACACGTGCACACACACATCACGTACACGGAACACGTGTACACACACACACTGAGACCCAAATCTAAATTTGAATCGGCTGTACGAACGCAGACAGGGTTAATTGCTTAGCGTGTCACGTGGGACACGTTTAACACTCATCGGGCGCGTGCAGCGTGGGACGAGTTAATTTGTGTATTTAATGGGGAGTACATTGGTGAACGCGGAAAGACGTAGCGTGGAGTTTGGGGAAACCCTGCATGATGGGGGAACACCCCCTTAGCACTTGCCTAGAGGGCAAAACGAGAGGCGTGAGTTTGCAGGGGGCATCGCTTCTCGGCAAGCAGATATGAGCGCAGATCCGGGAGGGAATAATCCATAAATAAACATGTGGAGCGCGGTCTTTGACGGCAGCAGGTGGTGACTTGGTGCTGTTGCTGCTGCTGCTGCTCCTCCAGGCTAAATCGTGGTTCCTCATTCCACAAGCCAGGTCCTTAACCCGTCCGTGAAAGGCGAGCCCAGGGCCCGGCATGCAGATCTGGCTCCGCAGTGGCACACATTCGCCCGTACCAAAATAAGAGAGACAGAGAAAATGTCCGTGCATTACGCGCACGCGCTGTGCTTAGACTGTGTTTTAAATACGGGACGGACAATAGGTATTGATGTGTTAACCACAAACTAACATCTGCATTGTACCCAACATATAATTGTCAGCTATCAGCAGCAGCATCCGTCATCGGCTGCAATCTATCATCTGCTGGATTGTCCAGTAACCAAGGAACGTTGAGCCAGCCAACGTTGCGTGTTCCCTGTTTGAAGGCCCTCCCTGAGCTGTCGCTATCACGGCTTCGCGATGCAACAATCCATCTAACTCCCGCACACAAGCTCATTCCATCGCTTCACCACAGCCGTTAGACGTTCTTCCTGGCTATGTTTGACTCCTTTGGCTGTCACTCCGCTGTTAGTCTCGACCACATATCGCAGTACTAGAAGTATCCTAAACGCTGTAAATTAATGCATTTCTAATTGCGATTGTGTTTTTTTTATTTGTGATCAGCATACATTGTTATTGTTGTGGCTGTGATTTCTTTACAAAAGCACAAAACACGTTTTTAGAACTGGTTTGGCAACAGGGCAAGTTAAGCCCTCGCTGATGCCACCAATCCAGGCCACCACCATGGCAGGGGCAGATGTTGATCTGAAGAACACAAAATGATTAATCGCTCAGCGACCTACTTTGCCATTACATTACAGTACAAGCGGTTAATAGACTGCCCTGTGTAAAGGCATTACGTGTCCTACTTGTTAGTACACTACTGCAGTGCCTGGACAGTGCTAGAATGGGAGCCCACCACGCATCAAAGCAGTGTTACAGGTTGCTGCTGGGCTAAAGGTGTCAGCGAGAGGGCGGTGCAGCAATATTCATTGCTGTACTTTGCTGTGGTTCTGTGCCTGGACCAAACCATATTGACCAGTGTGGTGAAGAATGGCCACATAACTCCCACTATCCCGCACGGCGTGGAGTGGGAGTAAGAGGCCCTCAAACAGCAGTGGATTTCGTGTGCACGAAGTACTCAGTCAGACCTGCAATGACCATCATTAAGTGCCAGCTTTAATAGGGAGCTCATCACAATAATTAATTTGGATAATTCCTTGAGATGGAAAATCTCGATTGAAAGCTTTCGTGACTGCAGGGATTCACATTCTTGGTTCTTTCGGTAAAGTCACGTAGAAGGGAAACAATAAAATAATAAAAATATAAAACAATAAAATTCTGCAACACAAGCAATCGTCAGGTCACACCTGATGATGATTGCTTGTGTTGCAGTCGAAACTTCGTGAGAATTTTATTGTTTTATGTTTTAATTATTGTATTGTTTCCCTTCTACGTGACTTTACCGAAAGAACCAAGATTATGGAAAATGTCGTTTGCAGAGGTTTCTTCGTCAATTCACACAGTACAGGATGGTCCAGATGTCTTTTGACCCCCCCCCCCCCCCTCCAATGAATTGACCGCTAACATTAATTTCCTTTCCATCTTCATTTATGTTTTAAATAAACCTTCCTTTAAAATAAAGTTACGGTTTTGATAATTAAATAGGGGTCACGGGACATCTGGACCACCATGTACATTGGCAACACATCATGGCACCTGAACTGCACAGACGTTTCAAATATTCTCTCCTGGTTAAGTCATTGTTTTACCTGTGTAGTGTTGTACACGGAGATACACACTTGTTCTTGGAGGCAACACGTTTATTACAACAACCAAACAGGGCTTAGTACATAAACGTACACTGGATCAACATCTAGGTGATAACTACACGGTGAACTAGACCACAACGGGGTATTTACATAACCGGGTCGGTCAGTAACACACTGCCTGACCCACGATGCCGAGCGTAACATCGAAGACCGAGGATCGAAGAGACGTAGCACCCACGGGTTCCATTCCAACAGAGAGCCTCGATCGCTCACCGGACTGCCGGACTGCCCCTTTATGCTCCTGAGCGTGGCCTCGTTCCGCCCTCGGCCACGCCCCCTTCTAGATCCTCCTAGAAGGCTCTGGGCCGTATCACGTGTCCCCCAAGCCCCCCTTTCGGGCCCCCTTGCTACCCTGCCCCGGTCACGTGCCCTCTCGGGTTCACACAGAGTATCACGTCCTCACTTGCTCTCTCTCCGACCCTCACCAGAACTATGCCCCCTAGGGCCCGATTCCATGCCGTATCCACTCTGGTGTCAGAGAGAGACTCAAGACGTACAGTTTCACTCTTGTGACAGCAGCTGGCGCTAAACGCCATAGTGACTCCATATAAGTCACTACATCTGTGATAAATAGGTGAATGTTGTCCATGTTTAGCGCCACTGGACTTGCAATTCAGAGGTCGCCGGTTCGATCCCCTGGTATGGCGGTTGAAACGACGGTGCAAGTTCATTAACTCCCCACCTCCCTATGAGAATAGGTTTTCCCCTTTTTTCTGGCAACAGAA